CCCCCCCCCCCCCCCCCCCCCCAAACACACTCAGATCAGTGAGTCACGATCCTTGAACCAAAGAACTCTGGACAGCCTCTGTCGACAGCCCGTCAGTCTGCCTTTCAGACGCCACACGGAAGACGGCCCCCACGGGCAGATGGTCGCTCCCATACTTCCAGTTGGGCAGCAGCCAGTCCCTAACGTCCTTCATGTCAGCTTCACATATCCTGTACACGCGCACCTGCACCAAACACAAACACAACACACCAGCCAAAACGGTGTGTGAGTGTGTGTGTGTGTGTGTGCCAGTGGTCAGGTGCTTTTTGTCACCTTCTCGAGGGCGTTGGTGTGGAAGACGAAGTCCACGGGGCCGATGTAGCGCCGCGACCTGTAGGTGGGCGGGCAGTCCTGCTCGGTGGCACCGTAGGCATTGCTGAAGCGATAGGGGGAGTGGAAGTCCTCCTCGTCGTTGATGCACTCATCGCCGCTCTGCCACGGCTCACGCGCACCCTGGAACACACCACAGGCACACACACAGACAGAAACACGGACGTGGATGCGATTCTCTGGCGCTCTCTCTCTCTCTCTCTCTCTCTCTCTCTCCGTGTGTGTGTGTGTGTGTGTGATGTGTGGTTTGCTGCCCGCACTCACCTTTTGCATGATTCCGTTTCTGAGCAGGCCGAATAGAGCGCTGCTGGGCGAGCTGTTGAAGTCGCCCGTGATGATGATGCTCGCCTCGCTCTCCGATAGAGTGGGCTGCAGCTTGCCCACGAGCGGATGCATCTGCTTGATCAGTGACCGACACTGCTGAAACCGCTCCTTGGACTTGGCGGGATCTGCCCGCACACACACACACACACACACAGCGTGGTGTGCTGTGTGGTGGGTGCCGTCTGGTTTAGTCTACTCACCCCCTTCTAAGTGGACGTTGGCGAGCAGGACAAGTGGGCCATCTCCGGCGGTTTTCAGCCTGAGAGCGAGCAGCATGGCCCGTGACCGACTCGTCACATCCAACACCTCCACCCTATCAGGCTTGTAGAACACCGCATTGGCAGTGGGAAACCGTTTCCTGCACACACACACACACACGCACAGAGAGAGAGAGAGAGAGAGAGAGATTCACATCAGCCCTCTTCTAGCACACGGTAGTTTCCCCCACCCACCCACCCACTCACCTGTTCTTGCCGTTGCCCTGCAGAATGCCGACATAGCCGTTGTCCTCGAAGAACGGGGCGATCTCGTCGTCATACTTGTCAAGATCCACCTCTTGCAGACACAACACATCAGCGCCGCTCGACACAGCCAGCTCCCTCAGCCGCCTCCAGCGGTAGTCCCAGGCCAGATACTCACGAGGTACCCACCGATAGATCCCATTCTTGTTGAAGTTGCGGCGCGTATACGAGTCGGCCAAGAGGTTCTGCGACAGGACAGAGATCTCACCGTGGCCAGCCTGCAGGACATCGGCAGCACCAGCGCCTGTGTCCTCGCCCATCCGCCGCTGGATCCGTGCCTGCTGTCCCCGTAAGCTGAGGAACCGCATCGTCCGGGCGAAGAGCTCAGCGGGCAGCCCCCAGACCCTTGACAACAGAGAGTGCCGCCGGTTGGGTGGCTCTTGAGCTCGTCTCGACAGCAGCAGTCCCATAGATGAGCCTCGATGAAAGGTAATGTGACGTGAGATGCCTCGTCGTTGAAGGTGAAAGATGGAGCGTCGGTGATCTCGGTGTGGCACGACAGATCGCAGAGCGTTGCAGATAAGACAGGGAAAGAGGAGAGAGGGGAGAAATAGCTGAGCGTTCTGTCGCCCCATCTCTCCCGCAGGGTTTTTCGGGTCCAGGGTTTGGCTGACTCCCGTAAGCCTCGAAGAGTGATCCTGTTAGCGCTGGATCTGCCACCGAGTGCCGCGCAAGACGACCCGCGTCAAGAGGCGGCGTGCGGAGGAGGGTAAGTGTCACAGATGAGGAGGCAACGGACGCGCTTGCGTCCCTGGCGGGAGGGCAGATGCTCGCTTCCTTCTTCAACAAACTCTCAGTGGCCATGCAGAGCGAAGGTCAGGTGCTGCACAGCGAACTCTTCGAACAGTCCACGAACGGTGTGCGGCGGTCTGATGATGGACTTATGTGTCTGCGAGCAATGGTACACCGACAGACACAGAGAGAGAGAGGGACACACAGACGGACGGAGAGGGCAGGGCGATGACGTCTGTGTGTCTGTGTCAGGTGTGACTGGTGTGCTGATTCACTCGCTGGAACAAAGCCAGACGACGGCCGAGTGGCTGCCGCTGTGAGATCGGCCGATGAGTCGACGAGCTGATGTGAGTGAACTGACTGTCTCTCTCTCCGCATGGACGGCATGGATGGACTGGCGGCTGTCGTGTTTATGAGAGTGTATTGCATTGTGTTGTGTTGTGTTGTGGGGCTTTGCGTGTCGGTCGGTCTGGCTGTCATTGTCATATCTCGTCTGTGCCACACTCCTCAGCCGTCAGCTGCCATGAGTGTGTCGGCCGATGAGTGGGGGGCGGGGGAGAGATGACAGACAGACAGACAGACAGAGAGGGATGAGTGGCTGGCTGGCTGCACAAAGGAATCGCTGTGTGGGGTGGCGGGGGCCGTCTGTCCGTCAGTCAGCTCAGTCTGACGTTTGCTCGCGAGAGTGTCTGATCTCTCGTCGATGCATCCGTCACACACCGCCGGCTCACAGACAGACAGACAGACACACAAATAGTCTGCCTGGCTGAGAGAGAGAGAGCGAGAGAGAGTATCTTGTATCCTGTTGTGAGTCCCCCCCTCCTCTCTCTGTGGGCCATCTTTAGCGTCTGGGCGACCGCAGAGCGTCAGCCCACGAAGGGTGTTGGTGCTTTAGGGTTGCCGGGCGGCGATAAAGATGCGCGGGAGAGGGAATGGACAGACAGACACACACACACACACAGAGAGAGAGAGAGAGAGATCTGTCTGTTTGCCTGTCTGTCTGCCTGCCTGCGTGTCATGTGTGGCACACACACGAGTGTTTTGTCTGTTTGGTGGCGATGATGTGTGCTGAAGAGAGAAAGATCGGCCGATGCGCCGACTCCTGCTGCCCAATACGGACTGACTGACTGGCTGGCTGGGCTGAATCTCTCTCTCTGCCTGGCCCTTTGTCTCTCTCTCGTGGCCCTTTGGCGTGTGGGTGTCGGTCGTCGACTGACGGTCGACAGCAGGGCAACACGAGAGCTCATAATGCGGCGGTGTGCGGCGGTCTGATGATGGACTTATGTGTCTGCGAACAATGGTACACCGACAGACACAGAGAGAGAGAGGGACACACAGACGGACGGAGAGGGCAGGGCGATGACGTCTGTGTGTGTCTGTGTCTCTGTGTGTGTGCTGTGTCTGCATTTGGTGTGCAGTGTTGCTGGCCGGCTTCAACGCACAGGACAGAGCGGTGCAGGCGCTGATTTTGTCGATCCTTTTTCCGTCCAAGGAGGCCTTCGATGCCGCTGTTGATGAGGCCAGTATCAGCCTGCAGCCCGCCCCGTCACCAGACCCACCTGCCCAGCTGATGCCGACGCCCGGCGAGCTACCCATCCCCCGCGACGCGCCGCGCCGCTCCAAGCGCAGCACCAGGGGCGAGAGGAAGGCGATACCGGGAGGAGGTCCAGGGGTCTGAAGGAGATAGAGGCAGGGATGGAGGAAGGAGGCTGGTGGGGGAGACGATGCCCTCATTCATCGAAGCTGATGAAACAGACAGCGAATGTTGGCAGTCTGAGTGATTGGACACTTTCGTGTAGATGTGTGCGTGGCTTTGTTGCAAAGATTCGTCCTTCCATACTTGAGGCAGTCAGTGGGGAGGCAGGGAGAAGGACGAGTGGAAGCGGCCTTATGCGATGGTAAGATGCTTGTCGTTGACACGCTTGGAAAAGCACAGCTTAATAGCCTCGCGGCTTGGAGTGGTGCCGTCAGGTTACGCTGCTGTGCGATACAGACAGACAGCCAGCCACAAATGCACAGAAGCGTGTCCACATCTGGGGTGGACGGGCACAGTGCGTGAAGGGGGACATCTCTCTCTCTCTCTCTCTCTGTGTGTGTGTGTGTGTGTGTGGTGCTGACTTGTGTGGGGAGTAGTTGCAGTTGGAGTAGTTGATGGAACTGCATCAGCTGCTGGTGCTTCATCTGCTGCTGGAAAGAAGAGTGACTGAGATGTATGCGTGGCTACTGCAGTGTGTTGACTGCTGATGTTATGACCGGGCGGCTCTGCCTGTGCAGGCCTGTGTGAATATATTGTGCTACAACATGGATTTGGATCAGTCAGTCAGCTGCTCTGTACAAAATCCGCCACGATCCATTCTCCAATCTACCGACACACACACGTCATCTCATCCCATGCAAGCGATACACATCCATCCATCCATCAGTCTTTCTCACACACACACTCAGGCTCTCAATCTGTCGGCCCACCGCACTCTCACCACCCCACACCAGACCACACCAAACCACCCCGCCCGTCGATATACCCACCGACCGACCGACCGACCATCCCCTTGTTAATTCAGAAGAATGGCGGCAGGTCCCTGCGCTGCTGCAGCCACGCCTGCATCAGCGTCAGAGGCTTCGCCACTGCCAACTCCCCTCCGCCACCCTCCTCCCCATCCCCACTATCTGCCGCCTTGGCCTCGCCCCTCCTCTGCCGCTTCACACGGGGCGCAGCGGCCGGCTCGTCAGATTCGTCATCCACACACGACGCACCTCTTGCACCACCACCACCACCGGCTGCTGCCGCTGCCGCCGATGAAGCAGCAGCTGCGGGGGCACCGCCGGCCTTGTCGTCTTGGAACTGGACGGCCCGTTTGCGTTTGCCAAGGATGTCTTGGCGGGCCTTCATGAGAAGCATGGGCTCTTTGATGGCCGGCCTGGGTGGCGAGGCGGGGTGGGGGCGGTTGGCGTGCTGTTGGTCGAGGGTGCGGTCGCTGAAGAGGTCGAGCTCCTTGTCGTCATGCGGGTTGTAGTCGGGCGGCGGCGCGTCCGCACGGGCCGCATCCATCTCAGGCTCCACCTCTATGTCTATGTCCATCTCTATCCCGCCACCCCTGTCCCTCTTCCTCTCCCCCTCCCCCTGTCCCTGCCCCCCAGCCGCCGCCTCCTTCTTGTCATGTTGCTCAGCCACGCCCATGGACTCCTCCTCCTTCCGTCTGCCCGGCCCCTGCCGCTCCGTCGTCTCCCCGCTGTCCACATCCATCGGCTGCTGCTCGGGCGTCTCCTCACGACCACGCTCTTGCTCTTGCTGTTGCTGGTGGTGCTGGTTGTGGTCTTGGATGGCGAGATGCTTGTCCTCGGCTATGCACTGGGAGGCGTTGAACATGGGTCTGGGTGGCGACGGGTCACGCTTGCTGCTCGTGCCGTGTGGGTGCTGCCCGTGGAGGGGCGGCGGGGCGTCTTCGAGCGTGTCTGGGAGGCCGCCACCTGAACCGGACTGAGACCGGGCAGCGGGGGGCTTCGGAGGACTGACAGAGACAGAGGCAGAGGCATCGGTCCATCAAATGGCCGTCTCAATGTATGTATCTTACCGTTTGTCCATGTTGCTGCCTGAGGTCGTGGTGTCTTGCTTCTTCTGCTTGTCGTCTTGACTCTGGCCGCTGCACACACACACACACACACACACGACAATTGATAAACCAACGAACAGCTTCGGCCCTCTCCCTTATCTCACCCGCTGGCCGGCTTGTCTCTGTCGTCGGACTTGCGCGTCTCCTCCGAGTCTTCCACACCGCCGTCGCCCCCCTGAACTTGCACGCCAATCTCTACGCCACCGCCCCTGCTCCCTTCCTCCCTCCCCTCTCTTTTGTCCCCACCCGACTTGACACACTTGTCCCTCTGACTGTCCGACAGGTTCTGCGGCTCACGCAATCCTCGGCGCGCCTTGGCCAGCTCGCCGACGACACGTGGCGCCTCAGGCATCTTCTCGCCGTCCTCCCGCTGGTCCTCTGTTGGCGGCAGGGCAGCGGCCGATTTCTCGGCGCTGGCATGACTCGCACCTCCACGGCGTGGGGGGGAGGACACGCCCGGCTCTAGGAAGGACGGCTCCTTCCTCAGCTGCTCGAGCTCGCGGTTGAGCTGCGACGATATGGCGAAAAGCGGGGCGGCCTTGCGGTTGGGAATGGCGGATGTCTGGCCCTGACTGATGGCCTGCTGTGGGAGTGCGAGTGCGGGTGCCTGCAGGACCTCCTCCGTCGCACCCATTCCATCGATAGCGCAGGAGGGCGGGGCATGCCGACGCATCGCCTCAGGGCGGCCACTGCCGGACTCGGCGGATGGCTCGCAGAGTGGCGGGGCGGGCCGCATGGCGACGATGTCGACATCGGCGGGGTCGTCCTTGTGTTGCTGCTCCTTGTCCTTGTCATGGCCTTGGTGTGAGTGCCCCGAGCCACTGTCGCCCGAGCCTCCGCGACGGAAACGCTTCAAGCTGATGGATTGACAAGGCAGACACAGAAATGGGTGGAGGGAAGGAGAGTCTGTGCATATGGTGTGTGTGTGTGTGTGTACCTGGATGGTGCCCTTCCAGGGTCGGTCATCGGTAGGTTGAGGACGGTGTTTCCCCCCCTGGCTGCGGCGGCCCTCAGTGCCCGCGGGATGCGGGCATGCGCTCGCTGACTCTGACCCGAATCGGGCGTCAGCTGAGGCGCCTTCTGACTCGGCAAAGACGCTATAGACGCTGCTGCAGGTGACACAGCCATCTTCTCCTCCTCCTCGCCACCATCACCATCACCGGCACCACCACCAACAGCCCCGCTACGCTCCCCCTCCCCCTCGCGCTCGCCCTCATCACGAGCTACCTGACTGCCGCCTCCCGTCATCCCGTCATCTCCCTTCTTATCGTCAGCCGCACCCTTCTCCCCGTCAAGCATCACTTGGTCCTCCTCCTGCTGCTGTTGGTCGCCGTCCTTCATCTCCTCGTTCGCGTCATCCAGACGCTCTGCGCCTGGTCGACTGGGCCGTGCAGGGGACTCAGCGGCAAGCGCTGCAGCAGTGACCTCGCCGAGCATGGCGTCGGTCATGAGTGGGGCAGGTGCGTGTGGGGGTGGGACAGGTGGAGGGAGGGGGTCAGATCGGTCGGATGCTGTCTTGGATGCACCGTCGGGCTGCGATTCGGGCGACTCCCGGACGGTGGGCGGCAGCTCCATCGACGGGGGGTGGTCGGCCTGGTCTGAGTGGTCCGATTGGGCCTGGGGCATGGCCGCGTCATCGCTGGCGTCGTTGCCCTCCCCCGCCCCCTCGCCGCCACCAATCATGTCCACCTCGTCTTGTGGCACCGTCTGCTCGTGCGGGTGGTCAGAGCCCTCCCCCTCCACCTCGCCATTCTGCCCAGCACCACAGCTCTCCATTTCGTGCTTGTCTTGCTCGGGCTGTTGCTGTTGCTGTTGCTGCTGGTGCAGGGGGGGCTCTCCGGGAGGTGCCATCTCCATGTCATGGTCTGGCAGCGTCCCATGGTCGGGCAGAGTGGCCTCGCAACCTCTCTGCAGAGACGGCGACGGAGGGGACGGGACGGCGCCGTTCTCGTTCTCGTCAACACTATCAACACCAGCAGCAGCGGCCCCCTGGCCATGGCCATGCTCGTCCTTGTTCGTCTGATCTTCCTTGGCCCCATCTCGGCCGAGGGGTGAGGGTGAGGGTGGGCGGGGGCGGCGGCGGACCGACTTCCCTGACTGCGGGGTCAGGAACTCGTCATCGGCCAGCGGCTGGGTGGCCAACATCTGCCGTCCGCCCGGCGAATAGACGGGAGGGGGCTCGCTCTTCGGTGAGCCCCGAGCAGGTGATGCACACTCTTGCTCCTGATCTTGGTCTGGGGCCTTCTGGCCGCCCTCTTCTCCGCCCCCCTCCCCTCCCTTGTCTTCCTCCTCGTCGGTGTCACGAATCGTCTCGATCTGCTCCGGCTCGCCTTGCCCACTTGCCGGCGCTGGGATCTCCTCTCCGTTGTTCTCCATCGGACGATCCTCGGCGACCCCCTCGCCATGCTGGGCGTCCCCAACATCCTCTTTGGGTCCGTCGTGGTTGCTCTGGTCCTGGTCGAGAGTGGGTGGCAGTCGTCTCGGGACGAAGGGTATCTGTGCGGTCTCAGCGGCACCCTGCAGCAGGGGGTGGGGGTGGGGGCGCTGCTGCTGCTGCTGCTCGTCCGGCTCCGACGGTTGTGAGCTGCGCCGCCGCTGTGCGAGCAGCAACTGCAGGCTGCCGGCTGACGGTCGCAGTGGGTTCCCGAAGGATGACTTTTTGCTCAACGCGGCCGACAGACGGGGCGGGGGGGCGTCAACCGTACCTGCCATGGGAGGACAACATGAATGTGGGTAGACAGACATATGTGCAGGTGGGGCACGTGTCAGTAATGGTTGGGCTGACCAGCGATCATGTCTAGGAGGTCGTCATCGTCCTCGACGCCGCCGCTCGACCTGCGGGGCGGCCTCTCGTCGCTGAGCCTCTCCTCCTTGACACGCGCACCGGGGCTGTCGCCATCTGAGTCCTCCTCTCCCTCTCCCTCTCCCTCACCCTTGGAGAGCAGGACAGCAAACGACACAGTCGTGTGTGTACGTGTGTGTGAATGGATGGATGGATGGATGGATGGCTGCATGGCCCCAGGTGGTTGTGTGTGCGGCTAGGTGTGGGTGTGGTGCAGTGTACCTCTTCCAGTTTGCCGAGGGCGGTTCTGAAATTGGTGAACGGATCGTTGCCAGCGACCGGATCGCCGCCACCGACAGGATCGCCGCCACCGACAGGATCTTCGTCATCGACAGGTGCGCCCCTGACCATCAATCCCACCACAGCCACACATGCGGGCGACACGTGTCACTGCTGGCCAGCTGGTCGGCTCTCTGTCCCTCTGACCCACTCACTCCAGCTGGCGAGCCTGCGATGCTGTTATGTCAACGTTGTCAATCTCGAGAAACGCATCCGCCTTGCTCTCGTTGGCCTGACAGACACCAAAGACAGACAGACAGACAGACGCACCCTCACACACACACTCGAAAGATGGTAGGACCAGCACCACCACACCCTCCCTCGCCCCCCCTCCCTCTCCCCCGCCCCCCCCCCCTCTCTGCTGACTGACCTTGCTTTGTATGTGTGTGAAGTGTGCGATGAGGTTCGGGAGTTTGCCCTGTTTGACGGCGAGAGAGGCGGGCTTTGGGAATTCGCCGACCATGTCGTGTGGGACCATGATCTTGACTGAGTGGATGACGGCCCTGACGCTGCGGCCCTCCACGCCGTCCGCATCGTCATCGAACCACTGCAGGAATACCCTGGCGTCCACTATCGAATCTACACATCAACCATACATCACACACACACACACAGAGAGAGAGAGAGAGAGCGCTGCCGTCCTGACCCGTCCTTGGTGTGTGTGTGGTGTGTTCCAAGTGCTGACAGACATACTGTTGAGCCCATCGATGTCTGGTTCGTCGCAGAGTGAGTCGCTCATCATGTTACTCTTGCAGGATCCCGTCACGATGGCCTTGACACACGCTCGGTTGTCATGCAGCACACACGTCGCTATGGCATCACAGCCCTGGCAGTCCACCGTCTTCGACAACTTGACCAGCCGGCACGGTTGGTTGATACCTGCACGGACCAGACGGAGGATGCGATGCATCCATCGCAATTGCTCCTGGGCTGCAATGCCATCCATCTCAAGCCTTACTGAGATCGATGCGCCGGAGGGGTTTTGGCGTTGACCTATCGAGGTTGTGTATCTCCCTGCGCACGAAGTCCTCCACAGCCGACGCCACCCATGCCCGCTTCTTCACGTACTCCGTCATTTCTTACACGCAAACCTTCTCCTCATTACAGCAGCCCTCACAGGCCACACGCTGGCCGAAAAGGCCCTTCAACCCCACACACATGGCTTGACACATGGTGCAACTGCAACTCTCAGCGCGAGCTTTTGGGATCCCCTCGTAAACACCGTGACGCAGCGCTCCAGGCCTGTCAGGAGGCCCAGACCACACACGCACATCCGAGTAGCTGCCCACCATGTTCTTTTCTGCTGGCCGCCCGTCTCCCTCCTCACTGGTGGGTGAACTCGCCTCGCTGAAGGAGAACCCCGCGACATTCAGCCTATTGTCACAGCACGGCCTGGAGGTGGCACAGCCATCCGCGTCGAGCATCTTCGGGGCACATCAAGCGAGCATCACCCTCTCTGTGGAGGGAACCGACATGCCCATCATCCGCTGCTCGCAGGCCGCCTCACTCGAGGTCCCTGCACCTTCGCTCGGTACACAAAGTGCACACCAGCCACCATTGAGTGTCACAATTTCATTCATTCAGGCATCTTCTGACCCATTTCTGTGTCTGCCTGTGCGTGTGTTTTGTGTTTGTGTGTGTGCGCAGCGATTCTGACAGGCAACGAGAATGGCCGGTACCCTCTGTCGAAGAAGCATATCGATGAGTTCCTGCAGTCATTCGGCGACTACCAATCGCGGCAGCTCGTGTCGGACAACTGGAAGGGGAGCCTCTCAGCGACCAGCAGAGGCGAGGTGGCCAACGTCCACGTGGCGGGACAGGCGTGCTTCCTGCCTGTGGCCGAGACCTCCCCCCTGTTTGGCGGCCACGACGCCGTGCCTTTCCGCATCACCTACTTCAACTCCAAGAGCCATCCCAGCAGCCCCGCTGCTATGGTGGTCGTCGCCTCGGCATTCGGGGCGTCGTCACAAGCACCCACCTCCAGGAGGCAACACCTGTTTCACAACAGTGACGGCAAGAGGTGAGGTGGGTGACAGGCCAGACGGCATGGGCTGTCTTAATGCTCCATTTCCTTTTTCTCGTCGTCAGGTGTCCCTTTCTGGTCGAGAGGACGTCGGCCAGTCGCATGCGTGAGGGCCAGCACCAGCAGCAGCAGGAGGAAGCGGCCCCCGCGGCCCTATCTGCGCAGGAGGAGGCCAAGAACTGCCTGCTCGTCATCGAGGTTCCCTTGAAGACGACCCCCCAGCCCCTGTTCGGCACGCCACACGCTCTCTTGGCTTCTGGCGGAGGGATATTCGGCTCGCCGGCGATCACACAACCTGGCACGGCAGCGGGGGCCATTCCCACACAACAATTCGGAGGTGGTGAGGCCGATGAGAGAGAGGGTCGATCCATCGGATGCTTACCTATCCTGTCTGTCTGCCTGCGTCTTTCTTGGTGTCAGGTGGTTTTGGAGGTGGCGGTGGTTTGTTCGGCAGCTCTTCGGGTCAGGTCGGAGGGGGCCTGTTTGGCAGCAGCGGCGCGGCGGAGCCACCATCTGCATCTGCATCTGCTGGTGCCCCGACCGGCACTCAGGAGGCGGCCGTTATCTCCCTGGGGGAGGAGGGGGGACTGTGGCCTTACGACCCCTCAATCAAGATCGAACGCGATCAAGTGGTCAGTTGGGGGGGCACCGAGCAAACACACCTGGGACGGGCACACAAACCCCTCTCCTCATTGTGTCTGACACCTCTCTCTCTCTCTCTCTCTGTGTGTGTGTGTGTGTGTGTGTGCGTGTGCCGTGCAGGCGCCTCTGAAGGTTACCATCCTGTTCTACTACGGTGCGTCGTCGTCGTACCTCGACTCATCGACGGTGCAAAGGGTCAAGGCGCAGCTCGAGGCGGCCCGCGCACAGGACTTCTTGACGCAGCTGGTGCAGCAGTGGGAGGCGTTGGGCTATGACGGTGCGCCTCGGGGTGCCCCCACGGCCGGCAGCAAGGTCGGCGGGGTGCAGCTGTCGCCCCAGGAAGCCGAGGAGATGCGAATGCGCCAGAGGGACGAGCCGCTCTTCACTGCAGCCGTCAGGTGGGGGCGACAGGGAGGGAGGGAGGGTGACAGCATGAGTGAGGCGATGGTACACATCCATGTGTGTGTCGTGTTGGATGGATGGGCGCAGGCGCGACATCTACCGTGTGTTGAGCGACAAGAGCCGTGCAGCGGCTGGCGTGACGGCCAAAGCGCCCCGTGACCGCCTCACACAAGAGGAGGCCACAGCGTCCGCCGACGACTCACCACTCGCCACCATCCTCGCTGTCAAGAAAGGCATGTACACCTGCGACCATCAACGCCCATCCTATGCCATCCCCTCATTCCCTCCTCTGCGGCCATACGTCAGATGGTCCCGAGTTCTTCTTCACGAGGCAGCACAAGCCGGCCACCCTGCCGGCGGGCTTCGAGCCGGTCTCGTCGACGGAGCTGGTGGAGGCCATCTCGTTTATCGGCAAGGCCTCCACCGTGGCCACTCGGCTGACCAAGGCGTTTGAGGAGTATCTTGTTCGTGAGCTGGTGCCCAACTGGACCACTGCTGACGACCTGACTATCCACTTCCTGACCGCCTTTGCCGCAGAGGTGAGACAAGACAAGGCGCACAGCTGAGGTCGTGGCATCTATCTGCGCGCTTGTGTGTGTGTGTGTGTGTGTGTGCTTGTGCAGTTGTCTCCTCGTTTCGGTTTGGCTGACCGCGTGTGCCGTGTAGGGCTGTCGGCTGATGACGTGGCCTTTGTCAATTCGTCGCCGCAGGTGGATCCCAAGGTCAAGACACTCATGCAGACCTTCCAGTCATAGAGAGATGGCCACGATAGATGCGCAACAATTTGCCCGAAGGGGCTCAGGGAGGCGTGGGACGCGGCGTACAACGAGAGAAAGCAGCTGAAGTGATAGATAACTCCCTGCCTCCCTCTCTCTGTGTATGTGTCTTGGTGGGGGCGAAGGTGTTTATCATTGTTGCTTAGGAGGGCTTTTCTTACTTGTCATGTCATTCACTGGCTGGCGATTAGATCTGTGTGGCGTCATGGCTGACTGCATTTGTCGATCGACGTGGGTCGGTGGGTGGGTCGCTGGCTGATGGCCGTCATGGCCCGCTCGGACGGTATGTATCTTTCGACACAGCTCTGCATGTTCGGTGTATGTAAATGCTCTTACGCCCGGCAGAATTCACTCGCACACACGACGCAGCGGCGGCCATCGCGTTTGTCAGGAGAGGAACAGGGAGACAAACGATACCGCGTTCTGCGCGGCGCATGCCAAACGCACCAACATATCTCATCCGCACGAAGGGGATCAGTAGCCTGTGTGTCAGTCACGTATGTGCATCCTGTCTGTGGGGCGGCCGCCACACCGAGGGTCTTGCGGTTGTCAACAGCTAGCAGGGTTTGGGGGTTACAGGGTAGGGTGTCAAACCCTAAACCATTGAATTGAGAGATTTGGTAGAACTAGTCCAGGCTGAGAAGAATAGAGCTCCGCCAGACTGCTGCTGACGTGTCTACGGTGGAAACACGTCACCGAACTACCACAGCGAACTCATAGCAGGTATGCCCACTGCACAGAGAGAGCGAGGCCGGGCACTGCACTCGTCATTCATCGCATTTGCCCTGCTGCGTGTTGCCAGGCGCCTCGCCCTGCTGCTGCGGCAAGTCGCCTCTGACCTGACGGCATAGCATAGCACAGAGTAGACAGAACACAGCCTACCGTCATGGCAGGCCTGATTCGCTGCCTGAAGCGCAAGGAGCCGCCCTGCAGCTCGGCTGATGACGACGGCAACACATGCGTCGTGTGTTTCAGAAAGTGGGAGATCGAGGGCGACCAGATGCCGATGAACCTCGGCAAATGCGGTGAGAGGGCGGACACACACGTCAGTCAACACAGATACATGCTGTGCAATGCGTTTCCTCTCCTCTTCGTTTGTCTGTTGATGTGATGGATGCAGGTCACGCACTGTGCAACGAGGTGAGGCCACACCACACATACGGTGTGAGGCCGCCAGTGCAGTGCGGGTGTGTGCGCTTGTGCAGTGTGTGCGACGATGCGAGCAACCCAATGGAAGCGTCAAATGCCCTACCTGCAGGTAGCCGAAGTGACTGACACACGAATGACATATGCTCACTCACAGCCACTTCCTCACTCTCTCTGTCTGTGTCATGCGACGCAGGGTGGTTTGCACGGCGGCCTGCATCACCAAGTCCTGGAGCATGATCAAGCTGCTCGAGTATCAGCAGAAGAAGGAAGCATCCACACGCATCAACAAGCTACTGGTGCGCACACACGCTTTCACACACACACACGAGCCGGCCGATGGATGGGTACTGTCGGTCACTGCGACTGGCGGCGGGAGTCTGCCACACACAGAGTAGTCTTGCTGCTGCAGGACCTCCTGCCGGTTCTGAGGCGATACCTCAACGACGCCACGGCCCTCCTATGCGACACTGCCATCACATTCCTCGTTCCAAAGGTGGACAAGTTGGAGGGGCGGGGACCATTAGGCATGGATGGATGGATGATCTCTGGTGCATGTGGTGCAATTGGTTGTGTGCAGGTGTGTGTGCCTCTGGGCAGCTCGCTGACCGAGTCCGAGTTCAAGGGTCTCCGCGGCCTGATCGGCGGCCAGGTCAAGCTCAAGTCCATCTACCGGTACGCAGAGCACACACATTCCATACGTCCACTGCACCACCGGATGTGTGTCGTTTGTGGTGCAGCACGTCTCTCCACGGCTCGGCGCATCGCAATGTGCTGCGGTGTGTGGGCGACAAGAGGGGCCTGGCGTTCGTCATCCGCAAGAACCAGTACGTCTTCGGCGCCTTCATCAGTGACGGCCTTCAGGAGCCCACACGTCCCGAGTAGTGGCCGACCAGATGGTACAGGTGTGACGTGTGGGATTTCTCGCTGGCCGGCCACTTCCCCCAGCCGACCAAGATCGAGATCAGCCGAGGGGATCAGTGGGTGGAGGTGGCGGGGAGGGAGGGGTGTGCGTGGCGTGCGAAAGTGGCGATCGGTGGGTTCCTGTTGTTGGGCTACGATGGCCGTGGCAGTGGCCGCCCGGCTGCCGACATCCGCAGCTGTGCCCAATTCATCCCCTACAGCGGCTATCTGCCTGAGGGCTATGTGGGAGTGAGAGATAGCGATGGCCATGCAGTGCTGGGCGGGTCGTATAAGTTCGATGCGGATGAGATAGAGGTGCTGCACGTGGGCGGGGAGTGAGTGTCTGTTTGAGGTGCATCCGGTTCTCGACGTGGGCGGGGCATGAGGGCGGTAGATAGGTCAGTGACAGAGGGAGGGGGAGGATGTGTCTGTGTGTGTGAGGCGGCTGTTATGTGATTGCTCTCTTCTCCCCATCCCACGCTGCACAGCCATTCCCATGTGCAGGAGGGCTCTGTGGATGTGATGTGTACATGCCCCACGAGCTGTCTGTCTGCACAGCTTATTACGTATATTCATTCCATCGCTTCTGAGACCCAAAGAGACTGACTCACTGATGTGATCGACTCAATGCACCTGCTGCATCTGTCGTGCTGTCCTGACGTGTCATGGCCAATGAATAGCTTGACACAGACACATCGATGTCAATTCATTGTCTCTCTCTCTCTCTTTGTGTGCTCTCTGGGCCTGGGTGGTATGCCTGCCTGAGTGTCTTTCGCTCGTGTCCCTGCCTGTCTGTCTGCCTGTTCTCTGTCTGTCTGTCTGTCTGCCTGTGGATGTGTGCGCGGCCTTATTTCCTTCCTTCCACCGATGTGTGCAGACAAACAAAGATGAGCAATGGACGAATGAATGGTGTGGCTGTCGGATTGCTTTATTGCGTTCATTGTGCACCTACATGGCCTGACAGCTGTGGTGTGGCGGATGGACACCCTGGCTGTGTGCGCATGGGACCGACCGATTGTGGGTGTGGTGTGCAGCTTAGTTGAATGCACTCGTGTGCTGTGCCTTCAATCATTCACACATCGAACAAATATCACTCACACGAGTCACCGACACGCACAGATGCGCAGCGTCCAATAAAGACACCCACCCCCCCACACAGAGCTAGCAGGTGGTGAGTACGAGTTTGGGCATGATGCACATGGCCATGAGCTCCTGGAAGAGCAGCTTGCAGGCGTAGGGCAGGCAGATCTGGCTGATGTCGGTCTTCTTCTGACACGCGCGGCACTCGTAATGGTGACGGTGCAAAGTCGCCACTGCAAAAGCCCCACACTGACACACACACACACACACACACACAGAGAAAGAGAGCGGTGGATGGTGGGTGGGATGCTTCTGAGGAACTGACTGGGCTCACTCACCTCGTCGCGTACGTGGACTCGGTAAGCATCGCTCATGTCGAAGAGTCACTCCTTGACCATCTTGGCCGCCCGTGGGAAATCATGCAGTCCCTCTCCATCTCACCAAACCTACCCAGACACAGGCACACGGAACGGACACACACACACACACAGGGTGGAGTGGGGTGTGCGATGGATGCGAGCGTCTGTGTGCTTGTTGCCAGCCGGCTTACCGAAGGCCGCCCTCTCTCGCCCGGCCCTCCATCGGCTGGCGCGACAGCATCACCTGCAAGTGTGTGTAGTGAGTGGATCACAGACCTGTTTGTCTGGATGTCCGTATGTGTGTGTGTGTGTGTGTGTGTGTGTGCGTACCACCGGCCCCCTAACTCGCGAGTGGATCTTGTCGTCGACCATATGCTTGAGCCGCTGGTAGTAGGTGGGCACGATGAAGACGCGCGCATTCAGCCGACGGCCCGTGTAGCCATTGAACAAGACCTGAAGGCACACACACGGAGGGAGACGCACGTAGAGTAGATGGATGTCTGTCTGTCTGTCTCTGTGTGTGCGTGCGATTGGGTGTGACTGACCTCCATCCCATGCTTCTGGTAGCCAAGTGCGTAGTAGGTGGGCCTCCTGAATCCTGCACCCACACACACACCACACACCACACCACACCACTCACAGATAACTGCGAAGCGCTCTCTCTGTCTGTGTGTGTGTTTTTGTGTGTGTGTGTGTGGTGGGTGGGTGGGTGTGTGTGGTGTGTGTGTGTGTGTGTGGTGTGTGTGTGTGTTGCGGTGTGTGTGTGTGTGTGGTGGGTGTGGGTGTGTGTGGTGTGTGTGTGGTGTGTGTGTGGTGTGTGTGTGTGTGTGTGTGTTGTGGTGTGTGTGTGTGTGGTGGGTGTGTGTGTGGTGGGTGTGTGTGTGTGTGGTGTGTGTGTGTGGTGGGTGGGTGGGTGTGTGTGTGTGGGTGTGTGTGGGTGTGGTGTGTGTGTGTGTTGTGGTGTGTGTGTGTGTTGTGGTGTGTGTGTGTGTGTGTGTGTGTGTGCCTACCGTACGAGTCGCCCCAGGAGCATCCTGTGGACCATGTAGCCGATGTAGTAGGCCGTCCGGGCCAGCGAGTTGGCGTCAATGCCGAGGTGCGGCAGAAGCTCCTTGCACAGCAGCTCTCCTCCTTCGTCACCGTCGTGGCTGGGCCTACACACACCAGCCCAGGGACAGACACGGGCGCATCGCATCGATAAGGGTGTGGTGTAGATGTGTGTGTGGGGGGGGGATGGAGGGCGACGCTACGCCATTCACCAAAGTGAGCAAACAGATGCCTGCCGTCACAACACAAGGATGCACATTCAATTGGCGAAATTGTGCGTGTACTGTATCTCCTCACCGGGTCTGTCAATGAATGAAGTGCTCTTCAGGGACACGCCACACGTGATTTCAAACAATAGAAAGCGAAGATCCAAGGGTGTACTGTACCTCCTCAAACATCACAGGCTCACATCTTTCCTGCCTCTGATCTGCATCCAAGCTCGCAGTTGGCGATCGTTCCAGGGGCAAGAAAATCCACTGGCAGACAAGCGACGACTGGCAGACAGATTCTGGAAGCAATTTATTGAGGTGATCATTGCCAGAACCTCCAAAGGCCTTTTGTGGCAACCTGGCCGATGCAGGTGTGCTGGAAGACGGATCTATCACTCCGCAGCCACCTCCCTGTGTTGGTGTGCTTTGTGCTTGATTGATCGGGTCTTTCAGAGCGCTTCTGAGAGTGCGCTGGGCAAGCGGACGGCCGCTGAGGCGCTGCTGAGTGATCTGCCCGAAAATCTCACAGATCAGCAAGTCCAGCAGCTCCTCAATGACGCAGACCAGGTCACACCACACACCCACACTCATCTAGTACCTCCCTAAAGTCAATGAGCATTCACTCTTGTCTGTCTGTCTGTCTGTCTGGCTGATGGTGTGTGTTCACTCTCAGCTTCCAGTGGAGAGCATCACGGCGTCCAACATTCGCCGGGTGGTGGCGCAGTTCGACAAGAAGATCAAGAAAAATGCCGAGATGCGAATCAAGTTCGATGGAGACCCTGAAAAGTGAGTCGACGAGCGGGAGGGAGGGAGAGAGAGAGGGAGGGAGGGAAGCGACCAAACCACAACCTCTCACACGGACAGACAGACACACAGGCAGACAGGCGCACACCACACGGTGTGTCGACTTACAGGTTTCTGAAGAGCGAGGTAGATTTGGATGAGGAGGTCAAGAAGCTGGAGCAGCTGTCGTCCATGCCCGAGCTGTATCCGGAGTTCATCCAGCTGGGGGGAGCCCCCATGCTCGTCGGGCTGCTCAGCCATGCCAACACAGGCAAGCCAAGCCGGGAGGGGGAAGAGGGCGCTGATGTGATGTGGGGGAGGCACACGGGGGGGTCTGTCTGCGTGTATTGATTGCTTGGTGTGCGGACTGCAGACATTGCTGTGGAGGTGATGAATGTGTTGAACGAGCTGACGGACCCCGACACCGTCCTCGACGCCTCAGAGCCTCAGGCATTCATCGACGCACTCGTAGGCCAACGCATACGATACGTGTCATGATCCTTGCATGCAGGTCGAGTGTGCTTCTTTGTCCGTGTTCTGCCTCCCTCCCCTCCCAGATAGCGTGTCAGCTGCCAGAATTGTCCGTAGAGCTGCTCACCAGGATCAAAGAAGGTATGCTGGTGCAATGGACAGAGAGATGGATGGATGGATGGATGGAATGCGCCAAGCCAACACATGCATGTGTGTATCAAGCGCCGATTCCTCTTGTTCCCCCTGTCTGTCCATGCGCATTGCATTCCTTGCAGACGACAGCGATGAGGATTTCCAGGCGGTGTCGAGCACACTCAGTGTCATCGAGAACCTCTGTGGTAGGGCTGGCTGGCTGTGGCGCTGTCACTGATTGATGGGCGGCAGAGCATCTGCCATGTTTGTTTCAGACCTGCAGCCCGAGACGGCGATATCGCGGTATTTCAACGTGCCCAAGTGAGTGAGTGAGCATGAGAGTCCACCACAGCCAAGCCACTGCCTGCTCGGCTCGCGTGCATCAGGTTCATTCCGTGGCTCCTGAAGCGCATTCGGTCGCCGGACAAGGCCGACAAAATCGACTACAACCGCGTGTAAGCAAACACGCCTCTCACACCGTCAGCACAAAGTGCAGCCCTGTCTGTCTGTCCGTCCGTCCGTCCGTCCGTGTGTGTGGGTGGCATGACATGGCAGTTACTCTGCGGAGATTCTGAGTATATTTCTGCAGCAGTCGCGTGAGTGCCGTGAGATGGTGGGCCGCACGGAGGCCCACCTCGACGGCGTCGACAAGCTGCTGAGGTGCATCTCCGCCTACAGGAAGACAGACCCGGACAGCAGCGAAGAGGTAGCCCAGGCAGCTGGGCGGACGGATGGGAGCAATGGCCATGCCACCCGCCATGCGCGTGTGTGCAGGAGGAGTACGTGTCGAACCTGTTCTCGTGCCTGTGCAGCCTGATGATGGTGTAAGCACCCGCCCACCTCAGCCTTCGTCCCTCCATCCATCCATCCATCCATCCATCTGTGCTGGGCTGTGTTGTATTGTATTGTGCTACATGCATGTATCCTTCCTTTGGTTTGATCAGTTCGGAGCACCAGGTCAGGTTTGGGCAGATCCAGGGCATCGATTTGGCGATTCGCATGATGAAGTGAGAGGGCAGTACAGACAGACAGACACACTGGCGGGCGAGGGTGTGCCGTGTGCTGTGCTGTGCTGCCATCACTGTTCTGTTCAGGGAGCGTAAGTTCGCGTGCCGCCTGGCGCTGCGTCTGCTCAACTACGCCCTGCAGGGATGCGCACCCAACTGCCAAGTCTTTGTGGAGAAGTGAGCAGACAGAGAGGCGCACATAGGTCACTCAGCCCGCATCTCGATAAATGGAATGTCCTCGTCCGTCAGGGCTGGTCTGAAGACCATGTTTTCGATGTTCATGAGGAAGGGCGTCAAGGGCAAGAGAGCATCCACCGAAGAGAGGGAAGACGACGGTAGGTAAACCTGACAGGCAGACAGACAGACAGACAGGCAGGCAGGGAGCCAACTGGGCAGCCGACGGGGGAGAGCCTCACTGTGTGTGTGGATCGGTCCATGTGCCTGCCTGTGTCCATCCATCCATCCATCCATCCATGTGGTTGGTTCAGAGCACTGCTGCGCCTGCATCCACTCGCTCTGCCGCTTCTGCACCGGCACTGAAACAGGTGAGTGAATGCCGATCGGCACCAGACAGACCACCCGACCCCACCCGACCCACAAGACATCTCCCCCGCTCTGTTGCGATGAATGCACGTGTGTGTGTGTGCAGCCCGTGTGCTCAACAAGTTCACGGAGAACACCTTTGAGAAGCTGGAGCGGCTGCTGGAGCTCCACGACACCTACAAAACACGGGTGCGGCACCGGTGGAGAGAGGAAGGGAGGGAGGGGGGGACAATCCATCCATCCCTGTCTATAATGGGTGTGTGTTGGTGTGTGCAGGTCGAGGAGGCAGAGGAGCGGTTCAAAACACGCGAAAGGGACGATGAGGAACTCAAAGAGGTACATAGCTCTCGGGGTGTGTGCAAGCAGGCGGGCTGCAGCGGATTCCCTCGACTCTGTGTGTGTGTGTGTGTGTGTCTGTGTGAGTGCTTGTACAGCTCGAGGTTGACGAGAATGAGCAGCGGTTTCTCGACAGGTGTGAGAACGGCCTCTTCACTCTACAGCAGATCGACCTCATCATTCTGCGACTCGCTAACATGGGCAACGAAGCGGTCAGTGCCAGTCCATCCCATTCACTGCTGCACACTGGGTGTGTGTGGCACCTGCACATGGGTTGGTGGCCTCAGGTGCGGAGTCGTTTGCTGGCTCTCCTGGGCGTCAAGGGCATTGCCACCAAGGAGGTAGTTGACGTCGTCACCGAATATGCACAGAACCTGGGCCAAGACGCTAAGGTGTGTTCGCACACAACCTCACTGCCTGCGGTGGCACCGCACAGACGTTTGTGTGTGCGTGTGTGTGTGTGCGTGCGTGTGTGTGTGTGCAGGCGGAGAAGGATGAGCTGCCGGGTCTGTTCGGTGCGTTGCAGGACCAGCCAGCCCAAACATAAGTGAGGGGGTCAAAAGGGCTGGGGAGGGAGGGAGGGAGGGAGGGAGGGAGGGCAGGCACAAGACAGACCCGGGATGCGTGTGTGTGTAAGTGTGACTTGCCATGTAGTATGGACGAGGTCGTAAGACTGAGATTTGATCTGATTGCATGTCTGAAGCTAGCTGGATAAAGGGTCTCGGCAGACGTGCTGGCTGGACTCACTCACTCACTAATCGCACATCACATAACATCAAGGCTTTAAGTATCTGTCTGTCTGTTTAGGTCCTCTCCCATATAAAGCCACAGACACAGCACACGGCCTACCTACCTTCACATAAGCTTCACAGCCACACATAGATACCGACACGAGGGCACACACCACACCACACATCAGTCAGTCAGACTGCCAGTGACTGAGTGAGTGAGTGAGTGAGTCAGGGGGCGGGTCAGTCTCTCGCTATACACACACATGCACACTGATTGACACACATACATACATCGTCCGAGCAGCACTGTTGCCCCGAGCAAGGCAAGGCAAGGCAAGGCATTCACGCAAGGCAAGGCATTCACGCCTTGCCTTGCCTTCGTTCCTTGATGCGTTCGTTCCATCGATGGTCATACTGTACACCGACCGAGACGACAGATAGATACAGGCCTGCCTGCCTGCCTGCCTGCCTGCCCGCATAAGACACCCCCACCGCACCACACCCACTCACAGTGCTTGTGGCCGCGACGGGTCTTGCATCGACCCCTCAGCCGGCGACCCCCCACCATCCTCATCCCTCTCCCGGTCCCCAATGCGCTGCGGCGCTGCTGCTGCTGCATCCGACAACCTGCCGTCAAGCAGCCCCGAGGCCAGCTCATCCAAACGGAGGGGCGTCGGGGTCAGGTTGCGCTGGTGTGACGGCGTTCCCACGGGACTCGGGGCGGGGGCGACAGCCGCCAGACGCTGCTGCTGTGAACTCCCTGACACAACTGAGTGTGCCGCAGGTGTGGCCAGGGGATGGTAAGGGACGGGGGGATGATTGGGGGACAGCAACAACCCCGGAGCAGCCACGGGGAATGCACTTGGACTGGGCGTCCGCATGCCGCCCAGACGTTGCGGATCGACAATCGAGTCGGCAGGCTCCCGCTCCCGCTCCCGCCCGACGGAGTGCTGTGAGTGCGACGATACCTGGCGGAAGGGCAATGGGGCTGACGGCAGCCGGTCCACCTGCATAAACATCGAGTCGGTCGACCCGCGAGGCCGCCGCGATGACGTTGACGGGCGTGAGGTCATGGGGGAGCCACGGATGCGGTCTTGGCTCGGCCGGGAGCGTCTTCGGAAGGTTTCGGCTGGCCGCAGTGGGTGACGATACTGCTGCTGGCTTGATGAAGAGGAGCCTGTGGCAGTGCTGCCCTTCCAGCCGAGGACCGACTGGACAGTCCGGTTAGCGGTGCGCACGGACGCGGTTAAGAGGGAGCCGACGCCAAATGGGTCGACGGCCAGGGCGTCGTTGGGCGCGAGCATGTCCTCCAAGGCCACCAGACCGAGCAGACGGCGGAGAGCCTGCATGACAGCCAAGCAGTCGATCGGTTCAGGACAGGAGATGATCTCAGTTTCTTGTCTGGCTCAGCTCAATGACCGACCTGATATCCGATGCTCTTTATGCGCGAGAGCGGCGTCCCCATGACGTCAATCGAAAACACAAACCGATGCCTGCAGAGACACACACAGACACACACGGACACAGACACACTCAGGAGTAGGTGTATGGTGTGGTTTATGGTGGGGGGGATGGTGTGTACTGACCATTGTTTGTATAGTTGGCTGAGGAAGTGTGTCCTGATGAGCCCCCGGATGTCAGCTGTGGTGAACAGCCGACTGTTGTGCTGGATCGGGTCCCACCGGAAGTCCGCCTCACGAAGCACCAGGAACTGACAATACACACGCACATGGACACACACGCACACACAGCCAGCCGGCCGTTTTGCAGATGCAGACGAGCCCGCCCCAGCACCCCACCCCACCTGTGTGTTGTGCTCACCTTGATGACTTTGTAGATTGAGATGTTGATCTGGAGGCTCTGCACCCACACGAAGTCGACATAGATGTACGGCCCGCCGCGCAATGCTCCCTCCGGCGGCGGCTCAACAATGGCCACCATGCCCACGTTGGCCGCGCCCCCAGTGGTGCCGTCATCGGGCTGCAGCGCCTCGAGCATCGCGCGGAAGGCCTTGCCGAGGGGCTTGAGCACCGAGTCGACCAAACCGAAGTCGAGCTGCACTGCCAGTGGGGCGCAGTGGACCGTCAGTTGGTTGATGTGGAGGTGCACCTCCTTCCTTCCCGCCTCCTTGCCGCCCACTGACAGTTGGTGCAGCCACTCATCCTTCAGCTGGATGTCCAGCCGCAGCAGGAAGGTCGGCAGTGCCACTGACGACGGATACGGATGTGTGTCAGATGACACGGGCACGTCGGGCGCTTCGGGGGCGTCTTCGGCGAGTGACGGCAGCCCGGGCTGGCGGGGTGGGCGTCGCCACCTGCCGTGGCTGGTGCTGTGGGGTGGGCTGCTGTGGGGTGGGATGCCGAAGGAAGGGCTGGACGGTGCCTCCGCCCCCTCGCCACCTCGTGCTGCGCGTGGTCGCAGGATGTGGGGCATGGGGGTGACGGCCGAAAGGTTGAAGAGGTCGATCGACCCCACAGACACCGTCAGCCGCTGCAACTGCACTCGCTGCGCGTCGCCCGTCACTTTCTTGGTGGACACTGCCACGTTCCTCAGGAGCAGCTCCAGAGGCACCAGCAGCGCCCTCCCGCGGCTCGTGTAGCCGATGCCACCTCGGGGATGTGTCGTGGGGCCACCGCGTGTACAGGGCAGGGACTTGTCGATGGCGACCACCACCTCACGAATGGTCAGGCTCAGTGTCATCGGCAGCTGGCGGCCTCCACTGGCATGTGCGGACATGGCTGCATGCGGCCCGACCGCCGACCCTTGGAGGCTTTTCCTCTCACTCGGCCAGGTCATGCCGCCCATGGCCTCGGAGGGAGGGAGGGGCGACTCGACGGCAGCAGCAGCACCTGCAGCACCAGCAGCCATTGTGGACTCCGACACCATCTCGCCCTCAATGGACACCATCGTGGTGGGCCCATGGCGGCGCACGCTCACGGCAGCCAAATACCGACAGTGCCGGGCCTGCAGCCCGTCTCTCCTGAACTGCATCAGCAGCGTCTCGACGGCGTGATGCAGCTGGCCCTCACACCCACACAGCGCCGCACTCACGATGCTCCCCCCCGCCGTGCGCGCAAGGGTGCGGGCGTGAACACTCTCGATTGGGCTGGGGGCCATCGGTGGCAGAACTCGCCGCTGCTGCTGTGGCGGCACAGCAGCAGGGGTGTCGCAGGGAGGCGGTGCATCGGGCTGGGGCGGCTCACGCGATGGCGTTGGTGGGTGCGGGGCCTCAGCTGCCTCCGTGCGTCGGCTGCCATCCGGGGTGGGGGATGGTTGGAATCGCCAGACGGAGAAGGAGATGTGATCGGTGCCAGGCTTGTCCAGGTCAACGGTGAGTGCCACCTCGGGCAGCCCTCTCTCGCCGGCCTCGCCTTGCGACGTGTCGAAGTGGAGCGGCCGTATGGCTATGCCGATGTGCCGCTGGCCCCAGGGGTCATCCAAACCGAACGCCGTCTCGACGTCGGGCGGGATGCACAAAGGGTGCCGCGAGCCGCGCTGGATGACGTACACTCGAAGGGGCAGCTGGTGACGGAACAGCAGCAGGGGAGCCGGGCCGTCGTGGGTCGGCGGTCTTGGGACAAAGCCAGGTCGCTGGAAGGGCGTGTCCACAATGATAAAGGTGATCCCGGCGTGTTCGAGGATCTGCAGGTGGACCAGGTCGGTCCGCACGGCGTCTGGATCAAGCAGCCGTGAGCCCGCACTCGCACTCCTGGCCCCCTTGCCACTCGTCTGCATGATGGAGTGCAAGTTGAGGTAGGCCGACTGCGGGCGGTTGCAATCGATGGCCGGCGACCACACGGCGTTGTAAGTCGACCACGTGGGGGCGTCCTGATGGGCTGCCCTGGCGCGGGAACGCCGGCCCTCTCTCGCCCTGCCGCCATCTCCTGCATCGTGTCCACCCAGTGACGCGTCGCCATAGTGTCGTCGGATGAGAAGGCACTTGTGCTTGTTGGCGTCCCGCCACGATAAGGCGAACAGCTGGCCCGAGGCGAGGGTCGCCCTGGCCCGCCCGGCAGTTGGGGGGTCTGGTTGGTGTGACCTGGGAGGGCTGAGGCTGAGGGAGCCCTCACTCTGCCCGATGGCCTGCTGCTGCTGGAACTCCAGCAGGAAGGGACAACGGTTCAGCAGCACGTGCTTGGGCTTGAAGCTTATCACTATCGCCTGAGGGAGGGAAGGGAATGAACGAACCAGCCAGCACTGACTCATGCCATGCTGTAGATGGGAGCGTGTGTATGTCTTGGCTCACTCACCTCATCGAACTCTGGCCCCTTCATCTCACAGTCGAATGAGACCTCCTTGCCCCCAGCCAGCGTGATGTCGTACGGCCCGCTCTCCGAAAAAGACGCCCCCAGCTTCCGCACAGCGCCTTTCTTGTGAGTCAGGACGATCGACTGCAGCCTCGACGACCGCAATCCATCACCCCTCAGTGCGAACGACATGTGCCGGCTCGACAGCAGTGCGGGCTGACACGCCGCAATCTCACAGCCGCTCTCCACTGGCTGCTGCAAGTCCTCCTGTAGCTCGGCAGCTGCGTCCGTGAGGAAGGTCAGGAGAGATGGGGGTGCGGGGGGTTTGCCGTCCTTGTCGCCTCGCGGGCTGGCCCATGACTTGCCGTTGAGCCCCCACAGCCCCCCTCTCTGCTTAGACGTCGGGGCGCCCGGGGCGTCTCTGTCCCTCAGCTGTCGGGCGAAGGAGGGGCATGGCGGCAGGTTGACGGCCGCCCCGAATCCATCGGTGGCCGTGGGGCTGAAGGCCGGGAGGTACTCGAGGTGCAGCGGGGTGTAGTTGAGGAGCCAGAAATGGCAGCTGGTTCGGATGCACAGCACGTCGCCGTCGAAACTCACCTTGACCTGCACATCGATTGTCCCGCCGTCGGTCACGCCGCACCCCACCATGTGCGTCACGTGATACAGGAGGCCACCGTGCCGCCGACCCCGACCCCGGCCCCGACCGCTGCTGCCCGCAGACGAGTCCATCAAACTCTGGCTGCTCCGGCTGTCCACATCGCCAGCTGGGGCCGAGTCGGCCGTGAACGTGCTGCCGACGCTCTGGTGCAGCCCCTGCTGCTGGAAGTTCGCGTCAGATGCCGCGCTCTGCTTGCCGTGTGGCGACTCCTGCGGAGCCGACACAGACCGGAGAGACGATTGGGGCAGCAGGTCCGTTGCGATGGGCATGGGATGGGGGCGTGTGGGGGCCATCTCAGGCCACATGTCCACTGAAGCATCGTCCCGTCGTGACGTCGGCGACCTGATCGGCAGGATCGCGCCAGAGGGTTGGCCGGCCATGGTGCTAACGCCACCCAGGTGAACCGGTGACGGCAATGGCGACGTGACCTTGACGCGCGGCCGCGCCCCCTCCTGCTGCGCCATGGGTGTCTGCGTCACCCGATGTGGTCTGCGGGGTGGGGAGGGTGGCGGCTGGCCAGTGAGGGCAGGGAGTGCAATCTCGAGTGGGTCGCTCCAGTCGCCTCCCGGGAAGCGGAGGCTGAGCAGGAGGGGCTTGTTCCAGTCGAACAGCGTCAGGCCCTCGTCATGGCCCGGCGGGAGGCAGCGCGTGATGTCCCTGTGTGGGATCTCTTGAGACACAGACCACCAAAGCGACCTGTGAAATGAATGACGACCAAAGCCACACATGCACATGAGGAGGGAGGGAGGGAGATTGCTGAATATTCTTGCGTCGCTAGACCCTGACCTGGGGAGGCAGTTCCTGAGCCGGACTGGCTCAAAGAAGGTGAGCAGTAGGGCCGTGTCGTGGTCGACGCTCTCCGTCTTGAGGCCGCAGACGAAGGTGCGCTGTGCGGAGACGACTGCCGTGAGGATGGAGCAGCGGCTGATGGCGGCCTCCTGTGCAGCGGCATTGGTGGTCTTGAAGTTGCATGAGGCCGTCCAGACGGGGCCTGTCTCGGACCGCAGCTTGACAATGAGGCTGACGCAGTACGCACACACGCTCAGGGGGACGGGCTTCAGCTGCTGCGGCAGCAGCTCGCACTGCCAGTCCTGCAGGCACACAAGAAGGCAAGGCTTGAGTGGATCAATGCGCACCACTGTGTTCTCTGTCTGGTGATGTCTCGGCTCACCGCACTAGCGTTCGATTCGGCAAGGAAGAGTATTTCGATGGGGTATGTCAGGTTGCTCTGCACCCGCACCGGGCTGCCCAGCTGCAGCACCCGCCGGCCCATCAAGGCTGTCTCGAGAATCGTCAGCTGCCCGAACCGCCCACTCTGCGACGCCCGCGTGTTGCTACCCGTGTCATACACGGGGGCGAAGTCCCTCAAAACCTGAAAAAGTTCAAGAGATTCGCGACGCGAAACAGTGGAGAACACATGGGTGTGTGTATGGGGCGGGGCACTGACTGACCTGCAGAGGAAGAACCCGATTCGCCATGGGGAAGTCGGGTACGTCGAGGTGCAGCGACGAGGCCTTGTGGAAGTCGAAGAGCAGGGCCTCCTCGCCAGGGTACAGCTCACCACACCGCGGGGGGCCGTCCGGTTCGCCCCCGGGCAGCTCGTCGCGGTACCGCAGCAGATGGCACGTGCTATTCTTCAACCAGTACGTGTCCTGAGCAGACAGACCAGAAGACCAACCAGCATAAATCAGATGCACCTTCCCCCCTCCCTCCCTCCCCCCTCTCTGGCTGGCTGGCGGGCGTACCTCCCGTTCGTTTCTGGAAAGGAATCGCGGTATCTGCCTCAGGTCGTGGTAGCACGGCTCGTCCTGCCGGATGCGACGAGGCGTCTCGATCCGCTGATACTCCAACCCTGGCCACACGGGGGCCTCCCTCGCACCAGTGGCGCTGCTGCTGCCTGCCATCACGTTGGTCGACGGCAGGGATGTGACCCGCATGAGGGACTTGGTGAGCAGGCCACGGAGGACCAGCGGGGGGGTCGTGGCGCGCTCGGGAGTGGCGATATGGTGGTGATCCGCATAGCCACGCGGCCCACCCGGTTGTAGCCGCCTCAGTGACACGGCGAGGGAGTCCTCTTCGACGGCGGTTCCTCCGCTCTCGTACCGACTTTGTGTGCTGATGGCCATTGCTTTGGCGAAGTGGCGGCTCTCCTTGGCGGCATACCACAGGCCCGGCAGGACTTCCGGCACGACGCAGAGACGCACACCCTCGGGCAGATCGACAGACAGACTAGGATGGCGCAGGTCTTCTGCTTGTGGCTGGGCCGGTGGAGCGGTGCGGCGGCCGCGGCCCGTCTGGGGTGGTGTGGAGGGAGCCTTGAGGGGCACCACGGTGGCGGTGTGGAGTGGGAATGGCGCCACCACTTGCAGCAGGCTGGCAGAGGTGAGCACCATGGGGACATCGCGGGACGGGGGAGGCCGCTGACACACGTACACGGACACCTGAACGTTCAACACACATTACATACATTGGCAGGTGACATGACGTCGTCACTGCATGGCATGGCATGGCTGCATGCGATCCGTGGTGGTCACACACAATTGTACACACCTGCTCGATGTCTGCGTCCAGCCGGAGGCCCGGGTCGTCGGCCACGAAGGACGTCGTGTGTGTCGCCTTGGCGAAGCACGTGCTGGCCGACAGCTGCACCAAAGGCGTCAAGTAGGGGTGAGCCGCGAACACGTAGCTGAAACTCTCGACGCTCCACTGCACCTTGATGACCAGGTGCGGCACCCGCCGCCTCGCCTTCCTGTTTGGCCTCCCCAGTCCGCCCCGCGACATACCGATGCCCAGCTTGGAATGGGCACCCACATGGTTCCACGCTCGCCGATGCGGTGGCTGGCGGCCCGACAACTGAACCCTCTCCCCGGACGAGGCAAAGCCGGCGGAGGGACGCAAGTCGGCCACCACTTCGGGATCGAGCAGGTGGTCCTCTGCGTAGGTTGCGGCCGACATCTCGCTCTCGCTGTAGGCGTCGTCCGACTCGTCAGTGTGGTCGGAATCCGTCACGGTGCCCACCGTGGCCGCACACGGCTCCGCCTCCCTTGTCGGCTGGCCGGGCGGCTCGCTGGTTGAGCCCCCTCGCGCAGTGAATCGTCTGACGGATGCCTCCATGTCTTGGACCACTTTGATGATCGGCACTAGGTCGGCGGCGGTCATGAGGAAGCGCAGGGGCGTGATGAAGCCCTGTGTCTTGAGCTGGATGACCTGCCGCCCCTTGAAGTGCTTGAGCCTGCTCTCGGCCGACACAGTGGCGTCCCAGGGGCTCTCCACCAGCGGCCGCATTGAGAAGTCACACAGAGGGAGACTGACGCACTCCACAGCGTGGCCCACGGCATCACCAACGTCAGCGTCGTCTTCATGGCCGCCGGGAGTGATGGACAGCAGCGAGTCCTGACACTCCTTGGTCAGCGCCCGCCCCTCACACACATCCCTGGACGTCGACGCGAGCAGGCACTGGGCGAACCGCGGAAAGCAGAACACCGGCACTGCGGGTAAGCCGCCACCGTCAGGGGGTCTCGCCGTGAGACCACCGACATATGGCTGGCAGGCCGAGAGATCCATCCGTATCTTAGGGAGGTACTCGCACAGGAACCTGCGCATCTCCAGCTCCGCCTGTTGCCGTTTCTCGCTCCGTCCAGCCGCCTTCTTCGCCCCCGTGTGGTCGTCGCCCAGCCAGCTCAGCGCCCCGCTCCTCGTGCCGTCCTCGCCATGCATCTTGACGCTGAAGTCCTGACACCGAAACATCACCGCCTCGACCAGCACCTCCTGCACGACGTCACTCGCCGACCGGCGGAGGGTCTGTTTCCTCGGGCCCGAGGCACCCCACAGGACCAGGCTGCCGATGTCGAGCACGGCGGACACCACGGGGGGCCGCTTCTTCCCCTGTCCATCTGGGGGCTGCGACTGGCTCCACGCCCTGGGCGAGTCGGATCGGTCCAGGGACAGCGTCACATCCAAGGGGCTGACGCGCCGCTCCTGGGCCTTCTTGGGAAGGGCCGCCTGAGAGCCCACTCGCTCGGCGTACTTCTGTGCGTCGTCGCCCATCTCCATCTCGACCGTGACGAATGAGGGCGTGCGGTGCAGCGTGGACGCCCCGTCATACACCGATGCGCTGTCCCTCGACATTCGGACGTCCGTCGTCGACTGCCGTGGCCTTGCGGCCTGGTGTTCCTGGTCTCCGGTGACAGTGTCTTGGTGGTGGGGTCGGTCTGACGAGTATCTCCTCTTCGTGGCGGTGGCTGCGTCGTGCAACGACGCGAAGACGGCCTGGAAGTCGCTGACGAGCAGCATGACCGGATGCATGTCTACGGGCAGGAGTGAGAGCTGCAGCTCGGGGCTGTGGCACTCGACGTGCGCCGCCATTCGGCCATGGCGGCCGGGATGGCTGATCTGGATCGAGAGGGACGTCCCGTCATGCCGCTGCTGAAGCCCGGGCTGAACCACTGCGGCAGCATCGGATATCGCTCCCACGCCGGTCACAGGAGGGGCCTCCCATTGAGACCTTTCCACGTTCAGCAGCGGCATCAACAGCCGGGCCTCTTCCCTCTCGTCGAGCCGCCTCGCTCCCACTGACAGGAGCTGGAATGCCGGCACAGCGTCCTTCTGCCCCACGGCCTTGTTCGAGGAGGCCATGACGAATGTGTCCCCTCCCTCCACGTAGGCGTCGACCATCCCCTCCGTCGGCCGCGCCTTGACCATCATCTGCAGCCGCTCCGCTGTTGTGGTCACCACTGCAGACACCGGGCACTGCAATGACGCACCAGCGGGCATACCGAAAGACCCGTGCGGCGGGGACCCTCCGTGTCGACACCTGTCGATCCAGTCGTCACCGTGGATTTGCAGCACCGGCCGGTAGAGGGTCAGCTCCATGTCGAACAAGGCCGGGGCCTGCAGCGCTGTGAGGGCGAAGAGGTCCATCGAGGCGGCCGCCGCGTCCAGTGTCGAGGCAGACGACTCACCCGGTTGGCCGCCGGCCCTAAGGGCCTCGAAGAAGAGCAGCGACGTCTCGGCCATGAAGCCACCGAGGGAGCCGATCTCTTGTGCGGCGCGAGGCATCACGGATAGAAGTATCAGACCGGCAGATGCGTCGATGGGGGAGCATTGTGGAAGCCTCCCGAGGGTCGCTTTGACGAGTGTGGGTCGCCTTCTCACGCTCTGGGGTGTCACCTCGACGCTCATGCCCGATGTGCTCCAGCAGCTGACTGCATCGTCGGGAACGGAAGCGGGCGCCGCCTCGCCAGTGGTAAGATCGAGCGACAGAAGACCGGAGTCGAAGCTCACGCTGTCGCCCTCGCAGGACAGCTGACACCGGGAGAGCTTCAGCACCATGCCTTTCCTCACCGCCCTGCCGTTGTGTGTGGCGGTCGGATCGGTGCACGACATCCCAAGCGAGCAGTTCTCGATCGTCAGGGACACATCGGGGGGCTCCGTGGCCTGATGCGACGGCATCGCACTGCTGGCATCTCCGCTCTCATCCACGAGCTGCGCTGACGGTGAGGGTGCGCGGCCGCCCTTGACACGGGCGGATGCGTCGATAGGCGTCGCAGCAGTCTGCTGGCCTCTGTCGGCTTTGCTCTTGGCAATCATCTTCTCAATGGGGGCCACTCCACACTGGCGGGCGGCGCGCAACATCCACCAGCCTGCATTCATGGCATGGCCCACAGTGGTGTGTGGTGGGTGCGACAAAGGAGGGAGGCTTGGCTTGCGTCGGACCGGACACACCCACCTGTTTTGAGGAAGAAGCCCCATGGGACATCGATTGCCCCGCCCTTGAATGCCACTTTCACCTCCTTGACCAGCGGCCTCGACCCACGAGCGCTGACAGAGGAATGAAGCAAGATGCCCACTCAATCTTTCCATCGCGTCGTCCCATCCATCCATCAGCTCACCTCATCTGCGTGACAGCAGAGATGCAGACAGGAAATCTCTCGGCAGGGGGCGGGATGAATCGCACCACCGTGGCACGGACAGACGAGCCGTCATCACCAGCACTCTCCAATACGGCCTCCTCAATGCCAAGCTCCAACGCATAAGAGGTCGGACGGGCGGTGCCGCCAGGGCTCGCTGCCTCTGGGCGGATCGACAGCTGCACATTGTCGAACGTCGTTGTGCACAGGACGGCCTCAGGTGAGTCACTCTCCTCGCCCTGGTCGGTGTCAACTGCCGGCCAATCGTCCCTCACTCCTCCCCTACACTCGTCCGGTGCCGTCCGCGGTTTGACTATGGGCGGCTGCCGAGATGACACCACCCTTGTCTCAAGACGATGCAGCACCATCTCTGCCAACTCCAGCCTAGTGCCATCTCGATCGCTTGCACCCACAGCTCGCGACTCCCTCCGCTGCTGCGGAAGTGCAATCGTATCCACCCAGGAGGCGAGCCAGCGCAGAGTCCTTATCGACGCATCATGGACCTCCAGCACAGCCCCGCCCAGCCGCACTGCCACACGGACAAGATGTACCATCGTGACGGGGGGCAGACGCTCCTCGTCTCCACGCCTGCTCCCGCCCGTCGAAAAGGGGGAGACCACCAGGGCAGATGGGGACCTCCTGGCCACCATCGATGGGGGGCTCTCGACGGCTGCCGAAGCGGGCAGCGCCCAGTTGGGGCTGTGGCTGTCCTGTGCTGCCTCGGAGGTCACGGGCGAGAAGCAGCAGGCGATGTGGAGAGAGAGCCGGTCAGCCCTGTCGGCTGCAGGCTTCGGGTCTTGCAACCACGGGGGCGCGGCCGCCTTGTTGGCGAGCCACCTGGACTGGACCAGCACCCGCACCACCGGCATGAAACTGGAGAAGACCGCATCGTCGGATTCGGGAGACACCAGCAGGCCATTACCGACGGCATCCACCGATCTGAGAGACACCGAGACGCTTTCGGGGATGCTGCGGGTCTTCTGCGTGACGGGCACCGGCGGCCCCCTGCCGAAGCTGGAGAAGAGCGGCATCACTAGACCGCCCTGGTCGCGGCAATCGCCCGCATCAGACTCCCGCGTCGCAGGCCGTCGGTCGCGCACCACGATCCGCTGGCGAGCAGTGGGGGACAACTGGGGGGACCTCGGGAGGCTGCTTGTCACATGGCCGTGCTCGCAGAGAGTAAAAGTGCAGACGTCGACAGCGAAAGATGAGGGCTCATCGTGTGTGTGGTGGCCAGATCTGTAGGTGATGGCGATGTCTTCTACAGAGGCTGACAGCTGGAAAGGATCCTCCTCCCCAGCAGCCGTGAGCAGAGCGAACACCTGCCGGAGGCGGAATTGCTGCTGCAGCGCCACTTTGAGTGGGAAGCCTCTGGTCACCATGACCATGGCTCTGCTTGCCCTGCTGCCCGGCGTCATGACCTTGGTGACGACTGGCTCCACGGCGTCGTAGAAGACGTCCTCCGTCGCCTCAGGACTGGCGTCACCAGCACACTCTCCCGTGTCGGCAGCAGCCGCATCATCCGCTTCCACGAAGAAACTGGGGGCCAGTGGCTGGGCAAGGGGCGACTCGCTGTCAGTCGACATGAGCGCCGCCACCTTGTGTGCCACGGCAGAGAGGTCTGCTACGGTCGCCGTGGTGACCCCCACTGCCAGGGGGCTCACACACCACTGCGCACTACCCCTCAGCAGGCCATCGTCCCGCTGCACACACAAAGACAGACAAATGAGAAGAGACACCAGGTGCAGGCAAAACAAAATCGACACGCTGGTCTGGTCTTGTCTATCCAATATATTGGACCTACCTGTGTCGGACCGCCCTGAATGTCGACCACTCCTAAGATGCGAAGCGGCTCGACAACAGTGAATCGACGAAGCGTCTGGACCGACGGCACCTGCACCCCCTCCTCCACCATGTGCACTCTCGTCCCGGCTGCTTCCCGCAGCCCCTTGTGAGGCAGATACACCACCACGCTCACACCATGCACCTCAGGCCGCACCTCAACCAGCCTCTCGTCCGCAAAAGAATCATCGCGCCGACGAGCCGTGCCCACAGCGATCCTCTCGTACGTGACTTCAGCGCAGGCAAGGACAGCATCTTGGGGGTGGTCGACGCCGCGCAGGAACGTCTTGGCAGAGGCGCCCAGGGAGACGACGTCCACATCGATCGATGACGCCCATGACGGGTCGACCTGACTGCCTCGCGTGACGGCCTTGCCTCGACCTAATGGCTTCCCGTTCAGCAGGCCAGTGATGGCGGCAAACTCCGCAAAGGCTCTCCTGGCTGCGGGAAGCTCCAGGCCGACCTCGAATGGCTGTATCCTTGCGAACACGTGTGCCGAAGGGCCCTTGGGTGAGGGGGGCGGTGCGGGCGGTTGTGCCGGCTGCCGACCATCGTGGTCAAGCGCAGCAGCTGCCTCATCTGCCTCGCCGCTCCCGCCTCCCGCTGGTGGTGCAGGCTGACGTCGATGGAAGACCAGGCAGAAGAAGTGCGACACCGCCTCTTGCTCAAGCACATCCCTCCCAGGCGCCTCCTCCAGCTCAGCCACAAGTCGGTCCTCAATCGAGGGCTTCGCGTCGCTCTCAGCCTCGAAGAACTCGCTGTCCTCAGCCGCATCGTCGTGCGGCGCATTGGAGGCCGACGAGGGTGCGACGAGCGATCGCGGGGTCTCCTCGCCGCCAGCCAGGAGGGCGTCCACCTCGGTCAGCGTGCCGGCCGACCTCTCGCTGAAGCTCCGGCGCTTCATGCTGCCGGTGGTGCGTGAGCGGTCCTTGTCGCCCTCGAGCCGCTTGAGGAACTCCAGGCCACTCTGCCGCTGAACTGACTGCGTCCGAGGCTCACGCTGAGACGCCGAATTGACCTCACTGCTGTCCTCCCGTGCGCTCACACTCCCGCTCTGCCCGTCAGAGGGAACCTGGCCTGCCGCAGCACTCGCAACCTCGCTGCTGGCATAACTGACCGCATCCTCCCGCTCCATAGGGCCGCTAACATCGCCGTCACGCCGCCTGAAGTCTCTTTGATAGCCAGCCCACAGCCTGGTCGGCCTCCCTTTGACGGCGTCGTAGGCAGCGAATGACGCGCTCTTGACCACAAAGGCTGAGACACCATAGCGGTGCACTGCCACGCTGTCCGGACGCCCTGCCGTTTCATCAGCCGAGGGAGCGTTCTCGTTGCTGCCTTCGTCTGCGTGTGGCGTCCCTCCCTCTGCTTGGGTCCTCTCGAGCGTTGCCGCCTGCTGCAGCTGCAGAAAGACGCTGAAGGTAGACAGCGACGCAACTGTCATGGCGTGCTGGTCTGGCTGCTCGGCTGATGACTGCAGCTGTCTCTTGAGCCGCCCCGTGACAGTCCCCACCCGCAGGCGGAGGCTAATGGCCGTGATGATTGGAGGGGCGCTGCCGTGAGACTGGAGCCGACGGTCTTCAGAGAAAGATGACCCACGGCTATCCAGCTGCACCACCGGAGCTGAAGGGTCCCCACGGGCGTCTCGCGGTGGGCCACCAGGGTGTCGGGGCGGCTTCGGCGCACGTACAGGGGGCTCCGTTGCAGCGGGAGAGGGAACTGACGGTGAGTCCTGCAGGCAAGCAGGCAGGCAGGCAGGCAGACACACAGGGTCAGCCCAGCCAGCCCCATTGTCTAGCTAGCTAAGAAACCGTGTCGTGTGGCATCTATCGTGCTTACCGGTTTGGTGACACTTTCTCGCCCTCCATCTCTCTGCTCGACAGCAGCGGCATCCCCAGGTCGGTGTGCAGGGGTGTCCCATACGGGCGGGGGGAGGGAGTAGGGCGAGGGCGGCCCCGAGTGGTGGTCAGATAGATGCACACCACGGCCAGTGGACATATCCACGCCGCCCACCGCCCCCTGCTCTCTCTGCGGACTCTGCATGGCGTCGAGCAGCGCCGCCAGGGCGCTCAACTGGTTGATGCTCATCTGCCACTGCACTTGCTGCACGTCCATCGCACAGTCGAGACAATAGGACGCCCTGGATGGCGGCTGCGATGCATCACACGCCGGATCAGCTGCAGACGACCCACCCTCCGTCTTCGACCCCACCTTCTCTGGCCGGTGGGCGAGGTCGACAAAAGCCGAGGCATCCAGAGGCACAAGAATGTACCGATTGCGTGGAGCCCTGTCGGCGACGAGGCCGATCCTGGACCGCATGAGCCGTTGATAGCGCCTGGAGGACGGCAGCAGGTCGGTGGTGCTGATAAGGTCACACGCACCGGGGTTGACATACACAGAGAGGTCGCTCAGACGAGTGATCTTCTGCAAGCCCCTTCTTCTCTTGGCGGCGCCAGCAGCTGGTGCGGCCACCGCGGACAGGGTGAGCTGAGAGAAGCTGGCGCCAGCTCTGACGGGGCGACTGGGTGAGGTCACGCTGTCCTCCAGGACCACATGCACCGACGACACCGACACGTGCAGCAGCCGCAGCAGACCCAGCCAGATGCGCGGAAACACATCGCTGAACGGATTCTCGGTGGCAAACACACTGTCACCACCACGGGCAGCACCCTCCCTGGCCGGTGGCTGCAGCATGGAGCTGCTGCCGTCATCGCCTGCAGCCTCGCGTGTGGGGTCTTGCCGGACCAAGACGAGGAAGACGCTGTCGACCTTGAGGGTCAGATTTGCTGTGCGCCAGAGCAGGTTCCAGGGGATGGACACCTCCAGCCGGCCGACATAGCCCGAGTCGAGCCGCAGAGCTGCCGACTGACCGATGGGCTGGCGCTTGACGGTCAGGTTTTCCAGCACGATTGGCTCATGCCAGCCATCCCATGTGACGCGCAGGTTGTCGAGATCGGCGATGAAGGCGCGAAGGACCCTCGATAGCATGTACCTGACAGACAAGACACCACATGATATGATATGGACACACAAAAGTAAGTGCTGCAGGCTGGCTGCAGCACTGCATGTAGCGGGCAGAATCCGTCCTTTGATGACATCCTACTGACTGTACGCCGGTGAGCACCTGAGTAAGGAACGCAGCACCATGGTCCTGTTTGTTCTTCCACAATCAATCAATGATCTCGATACACAACAGAAGCTACCCCATAGGTGCGCTGCATGACCACGACGATTGCTGCTGAAAGGGAAGAAAGTCTTGAAGCTAAGCTCGCAAATGGATCGCCCTCAGCCGCAAGCGGCAAAGCTGTTCCCATTCCGCCAAAGAGAAGGGTGCAAGGAGGAAGTTTCAAGATGCGATGGATAACGAGGCCGCTGCTGCCACTCATCGTGTGCTCAGCAGTTGTGTTGGCAGTCAGGCACTCATCCAGATCTGACTCGCACCTGGCACCCGAGGCAGATGACGCATCGCAGGCAAGCTTACTGAGCACGGACCGCTCGCAATCATTGATTTTGCGTTTGCCTGCGGATGGGATGAGTCCTCTGCAGTTTCAAGGCATGGGCGGCCTCTTTGACCACACGGATGCAGGTGGGGTGGGAGGAAGCTGTGGTGGATCCGATCCCTGCTTGTCCTTCTCTCCACATGTATGTGGATTGGTGTGGGCTGTGCTGCAGGGACGAGAGAGGGAGTGGGTCTGTGGGGCGCGTCGTCGCTCTGGCAGATCTTCCATCTCGCCGACGGCAACAGCAGCAGCAGCAACGGGACAGCACCGGTGGACACGGCTGCCAACGCCACTCGGAAGGAGGCGGAGAGGCCGCCCTCTGAGTATGAGATGGAGAACATACTCGTGGTCAGTTCTCCAGACAGACAGAGAGACAGACAGACAGACACACACGACCCGGTGGTTGGTATGTCTGTGTGTGTGTGTGTGTGTTTGTTGTCAGATAGCGAAGAAGGCCGCAATCCTCGGCGGCAATACGTACGTCCGGCATACATGCACATAAGACAGACAGACAGACAGGGCTGGCTGTCTGGCATCTCCCTCCTCCTTGTTTTGTCAGGTTGACCAAGGCCCAGCGGGACCATGCCAATGTGGAGTACCACCAGAAGACCAAGTAAGTGAACGCGCAAACCGAAGCGGATGACTGACTCACCGACCCAGTGACCGTTCCATCACTCTTGGTCTTGGTGCGTGTGCGTGGGTGTTCTGCAGTCCTCAGGATTTGGTCAGCGAGGTGGATCGGCTGGTGCAGAGGAAGATCAGAGGACTCATCAAACGCAAGTAGGTGAGGGAGGGAGCGAGGGAGGGAGGGAGTGGCCTACCTGCATGATGGAATGCACACGCACAGAGAGGGATGGCGTGTGTGCTGTGTGTGTGAATGCAGTTTCCCCAAGCACGCCTTCCTGGGTGAGGAGGAGGACTTCTCTGCCGCCGAGGGCAGCAGGGGTGCCCTCGATCGAAGGGTGGGTATCCAAAGTACCGACACACACGAACCACCCCACATGACCGAACATCCTCTGCCTGCCTGGCTGCCTGGCTGGCTGCAGCTGCACGAGCGGCTGTTGTGGGTCGTCGACCCTGTGGACGGGACGGTGCGCGATGATGCAGCGAACATCTGATCTGATTGGTAGTGTGCCGCCGTCGTCTCTGTCTGGCACTTGATTCATTGCAGGTCAACTTCCTGCACGGCTTCCCCTACAGCGTGGTCTCAATCGCTGTCATTCACAAGTGAGTAAGACTCGCCCACCGGACCGGACCCACACACACAGACACACGCAACGCTCACTGCAGTCAGTCCCATGGCTTACTTCGCGATGTATGTCGTGTGTTGTGTGTCTGGTGTGGTGTGGTGTCAGGGAGGAGCCGATAGTGGGTGTGATATACGACCCTTCTCGGATGGAGCTCTTCTGGGCGGTGAAAGGCAAGGGCACGTACATCAACAACAGGAAGCAGCTGACTGTGAGTGCGAAGAGCAACTTCACCGAGAGCCTCCTGGCCTGCGGGCTGGGCACCACACCGCACCAGAGGGAACCCACTCTCAGGGCAATGATCGGCGTCGCTGGCGAAGCCCAGAGGTGCGGAAGCAACCCGTGAAGCAAGGCAGCGTGTCAAGCCCAGAGATGAGTGGGTCGTTCTGTGGCCGTCATCTCTCTGTGGTGTCTTGTGTTGTGGTGTGTTGTGTTGTGTTGTGTTGTGTTTCTGTCAGTGTGCGTTGCATGGGCAGTGCGTCTCTGTCTCTGGCCTGGGTGGCGGCGGGGCGGCTCGACGGCTACTGGGAGCTCGACATGGACGTCTGGGACTCGGCCGCCGGCAGCCTCATGGTCACACACACACACTGAACATCAACTCAACGACACACACACTGTTGGTTGATGCCTGTGTTGTGTGCACGTCTGCAGGTGACTGAGGCGCAGGGGACAGTCACCGACACCAAGGGGAAGCCATACGCTCTGAGATCAAGGTGATCGAATGGGCGGCGAGCGAAAGACAGCAACACACCACCCCACCTCTCCCCTTTGTGTCTTCTTATTGTACCTGTCTGTGTGGTGTCAGGAACGTGGCTGCGACGACGGGCGGTGTGATCCACGACAGGCTGCTGCACCTGCTGCAGGAGACGGTGGCCACCGAGCCCGCCTTCGATGTCACATGAGCTGGACAGGCAGTGCATGTGTGTACGGACGGATCAGCAATGGGCAAGCTGTGTGCATCTGTGCTACGAAATAGCCAGAGGGAGAGATAAAGGGACAGACGAGAACAGACGGGCAGGTTATGGTGTACAGTGGTGGGGTGGGTGGGCTGGGCGAGTATCTATGGAGTGAGTCGGTGCTAGAGCTTAGTGTCCGTAGTAGCTGTCGGTTTAATTGTGGTGTGTCTGTCTGTCGTCAGAGAGGCGAGGGAGACGCTACTGTGATTGTGACTGTGTGTGTGTGTGTGTGTATGGGTCAGGATCATGTGACCAGACGAAGGGAGCCCACGAAATTGAACAGTGGAAGAGTTCGATGCAGGGCATGCACACGGACAAACGACGTCTCCCTGCAGGCAGCCGGGCAGCCAGGCAGGGAGTCATCTCAGTCAGCACTTGAACACGAGGATAGCCAGGTTCCCCTGGTAGAAGCAGTACATCAGAGAACCATCCTACACACATACACACACACACACACAGAGAGAGAGAGAGATCGAGAGATCGATGTCGGCCAGCACCAATCAATCAGATGCCTATGCTATCCCCCCCCCCCGCACCTGTGCGGTGATGTCAAAGCTGAAGCCCTCCCCCAAGACGCAGTGCCATTGTGCGCCGTACTGCTTGTCCAATGTGTCCTTTATCAACCGGGACGCATTCTGTGGCACACAGGGAGGGAGGGAGGGAAGACAATCTCACAGATACATGTAGACACCATGCAACCCAGCCATCCACCCTTCCTTCCCTTTGTTTCTGCCTCAGGGCGCACCTCACCTCCAGGTTGACGCCTGAGGCCCCGGCGTGTTTATCGATGCCCCCAATGACCACATCCACAACCTCGGTCTGCAGCTCTGAGTTCATGTCCGTGTGCTGATGACGTCGACAGACAGACAGAGAGCCGGTGACTGACGGAGAGGGAGACCCATGTATGCTGCGTGTTGAGCCCATTTACCTTGATCACGGCTCTCTGCATTTGCTTCTTGAGCTCATTGGGGATGGGCCGCACCGCCATGCTGCTCCTGAGCTCAGCCCTCCTGGTGGAGGTTTTCTCTTGCAGTGCAGTGCAGAGAGGGAAACAAACCACCGAAATGGACGAAAATGACGCCAGGCGACGAGCCAAAGCCCCTTTTTTCCCACTTCGCTCTATTTCTTTTCCCACGCTCCGATCGAGCTGAGGCTCGCACTGGCACGAACGAGGGGCGAAAGAGGCAGGAGGCATAGCGTGTTGTCGAATCGGGTTGGCATTGCCCATCATCCATCCTCATCAGTCGTCCCGTGGTCATCGGCAAGCAGGACTGAACGCTTCACCAGTGTGTGTAATAGGGCGGCGTCGGGCCCTCCTCGTGCCGTTCTTGCTTCAGCCCATCCCCACCAGTCGCTCTCGCCCCTCTCTGTTCACCACGCGTCGCGCCGGCCATGTCATCCTCTTCATCGGAGGGCAATGGGTCCTTTCTGCTGGAGGTGTGCGGACCTGGTGGAGCGGTTGGTGCCCAGCCCACAGCCACCTGGAGCCTGGACCTTATACCAGGTGGGTCACAGGCCGCGGGATGGATGGATGGATGGGGTGGTGGGCAAAGGAACGAGCCTGACGATGCAATCAATGCTTCAGTTGAACCACTCTGGCTGTGTGTGTGTGTGTGTGTATGCTGTTGGGTCTCAGCGGACTGCGCCAACCTGCTGGTGCAGTATACCGATACCAAGTCGCTCAGCAAACTGACCCTTGTCAATCGGTGGGCACGCGGCACCATTATTTGTGTGGCGACTGTGTGTGTGTGTATGTGGATATACTTCTCTTCTTTTCTCTTGTCTTGTCTACCCTGCCTGCCTGTCGGACCGTATGCATGGTGCCTGCAGTGTGATGCGAGACCATGCCCTGGACGATGTGCTGTGGGAGCGAGCCTTCAATCGCAAGTTCAGGAACGCCACGCCCGCGCCCATTACAGGTGAAGGGCAGGAGCGGGTGCCACCCGAACGGCTCGGCTGGTTCAACTGCTTTATACGCAAGAGCGTTGAAATGGTGAGAGAGAATGGCGAGGACGCAGGGGATGTCGAATGATAATGGTGGTTGGTTGGTTGGTGTGGATGGCCCAGACTGTGAGGGGCAAGACTTTGCAGACGGTAGATCGGAATGATGCGTTGAATGAGAACGAGTCTGTGCGGTGAGCGACGGAGCACAAAACACAAAAGACGTACAGGCTCGACACGTGCGCACTGGTTCCGGTCTGTGCGTGTGTGTCTGTCTGTCCGTATTTCTTTCTTTCTGTCTGTCTTCAGCCACCTGACTGCGCTGCCTTCGGGCATGATTCTTAGCGTTTCGTCCAATGGCATGATCCGCCTCTGGTGAGAGCTGAGCAACCGACATGATGTACTTGACGCCTGGCGCTGAGGTGATTGTCGATGCGCATGTGTGTGTGCCATGTTTGTTCACAGGGGGTATGACGATATCGTCGAGGAGACGGTTGCGCTCACGACCCACCACATGGCCCCGATCGCCACCCCTGCCCCAAGCCCCTCCCCCCCAGACCAGACACACCCCGCCCCCGCCCCCGTCCCCGAGAGCAGCCCCGGCTCTCAGCACATGCCAGACCCATCCAGCCCACCCCTGCCCGCTTCATCGCCGCCCACGCCACTCACACACGAGTGCCCACACTCCGATGCAGAGTTCGTCCCAACAGATGTGCAGAGTCCCGCCCGCATTGCCGGCGACTCGCCGCCGCAGCTGGCCGTGTCGCATCCGCAGGGCGGCATCATGATGCAGAGGATGAGCAAGGAGGAGCCGGTCTCCATGGGCAAGCGCGCCAAGAGGAGACAGCGGTTGGAGAGCAAGAGGGAGCGGGAGGGGGAGATGGCCAGCCTCGCCTCGCCGTCGGATGCCGACGCGGCCGCCGACATGCGGCCGGTCTCGGCGGACCCTCGGGTGCATCATCAGAAGGGTGGTCGACGCTCGTCCAAGTCCGGCAAGCATGCGATGGCCATAGCGATGCACTCAGATCTGGAGGGTGAGACGGCCAAGGGGTCGGGCCTGCTGCCGTCGCTGCAAGTATCGCCCCCATGGGCCAACAGCTGTGCGAGTGATGCGAGTGTGGAGTCGTGTGGGCCTCTGGAGGAGCTGCCCGAGAACGCATTGCTGGCCCTCGACATCCAGGAGGGGTCTCCCGTGGCCCAGCTGCAGCTGTCGACCGATGACATGACTTTGAAGGTGCCTCCATCGGCGTCGGCGTCCAAGCAAACCAGGGGAACGGGCCAGAAGACGCTCCTCGAGATGGTGCAGGAGTCGACTAAGAAGGGCGGCATCAGCGACACCAGCCGCACTTCGTCAATGGAGGCAGACGACGCACCACGCGTCGGACACGACACGCCGCAGCAAGACCCTGCCCGATCCTCCCAATCCCCCTGCCCGTCACCAGCACCAGATGCCTCCCCATCTCAATCTGCGCTGCCCCTTCCCCCTCCCCCCGGCCCCAATACCTCGTCGGCCAAGCCCGGCGGGCGCAAAGAGAAGAAGGCGGCCAAACGCGCGGCGATGGAGGAGAAGAAGGCATGGAGGGCCGAGATGGTCAAAAAGAACAAGGCGAAAAAGGGCGGTGTCCTCGAGGCGCCCTCTCCCATCAGCGCGCCGCCAACCACTAGCAGCAGCCCGGCGGACAACAGGGAGGCGTCTGTCGGCCTGTCAGCCGAGTTCCTGCCGTCGCTTGTGCACATCCAGTCGGTCACTGAGCGCCACCCCGGCTACGCGGCCAACGTTAGCGCGGCGATGCTGGCGGGGAAGCTGATCGACCCGTGTGACGGCAAGGGGCCGCTGCTGTGCGCGTCGATCGCCGCCGACACCAGGAAGATGATGAGTTGCATGATGCAGAAGGTGCCGCTGTTCGCCAACCGGCACCCGTCTTCGGCTCCGACCTTCGACCTAGAGCTGCCGGCCCTGCAGCTGGACATCGTGCCACAGGAGCCGCGCGCTGTCGAGCTGGCGGAAGTGGATGTGGGTGTGGGTGTGACGGCGGCGCTGTTTAAGAGACTTGGTGAGGAGGAGGAGGGCGGAGATGAGGTCGAGGATTCGTCACAGCCGCGGATCGTTCTCCGCAGGGACGGATCCTCTGACAGGTGCGTGTGCATTCAGACACGTCTCGCATCGCATATGGCGGTTTCTCCCTTTCACTTGTCTGTCTGCCTGCCTGACTGCGTTGATATGATGCAGCACGGATGAGCCGCCACACGCCAGCACCCGAGGCTGGTCGACCGAGACGCTCGGCTCCACCCAACCACCACCCATCGAACCCCTCTCGCCCAGAGACACCCAAGAGCCTCCCCGCCAAGTCAGTGGCGATTCGACGACATCCGCGTCAGCGGATCTGCGCGTGACGGCAGTGGCCTTGTCTGGAAACGGGTGTCTGATGCTGATCGGTCTCGAGAGTGGCGACGTGCAGCTTTGGGAGGTGGCGCCCGGGCGCTGGGTTTCGGGGCTGGGTCAGAAGGGCGGGGGCAAGGGGGTGCCGGGGGGCTCTGTCATGTGGGCAGAGGACGCTACTGGGCTGATGGCCTGCGGATTTTGTGACACGTCGGCTATGAGTGCTGCCGCATGTCAGTGAGATACATACTATCTAGCTACACCGACACGACACACGAGAATCGAACCGATCTTTGTGCATTCCTGGCTGGCTGCTTGTTTCTCTCTCTCTCTCTCTCTGTTCGCCTTTCCTTCCCTTGTCTGTCAGTTTGCAGCGAGCCTTCGACTGGGGTTCCTCTCGGTTTTTCGCAGATGCGCGCCGCCGCATCGGATCTGGCCGCCAGCCTCACACAGCCCGGCCCGAGACGCAGCTCACTGCCAGGCACACACACCACACAGAAACCACAGCTCTTACTCGGCTCCCCGCGGCTCACAGCCGCCAGCCCGCCCTCACCGCTGCTCGGCCCAGTGCCGGCAAACACTCCCTCGTCGTTCCCCATCGCTGTGGGGGCTCTCATCACGGGCGAGATGGTCGTGTGGACTCTCAAGAAAGCCATGACGGAGGACAGCATGGCGCCGCCCATGACGCTTCATTGGCAAGTGGTGCCACCGAGCCCGAAGGCCAGCAAGGGGCTCTCCCCGAGCCTCCTGCCGTCACCATCACCCCCAGCACCCCCTGCAGCATCTGCATCAGCGTCAGCTCCCCAGGCCTCCCCACAGCCCAGCCCTCTGCTGCGGCCTGAGGCGTCCCCCGAGCGGCCACTGCTGCACCTGCTCAGCGTGGTACCTTGGACACCTCAGACCGAGCAGCAGATCGAGAACACACCCAGAGGGTCGCTGGGGCGGCTGCGTGTGTGGGTCGGCGTGGCTGGCGGGGTGGGGGGCGCCAGGGTGTGCAGTGTGCAGGCCATGGCCGGTGCTGGTGCTGGGAGAGAGAGGGAGAGGGAGAGGGATGGTCCTGGCCGGGTGGTGTCGCCGAGGAGTGCTCGCGGGCCGTTGTCGTCTGTGGGGGCGTTAGGGTCGTCGGAGGAGAGGTGGGTGGTAGAGGAGCTGGTGCAGGGCTCCGCTGCTCTGGCCTCGCTGGCCGTATTCACCTGCAACCTGGGGAGGGAGAAATTGTGCTCCTACTGTGTGGGAAGAGGTGGGTATGGACAGAGACACAACAGGCACGCACACACGGCGACATGCACAGGGCCATGCCATGGGTGTGTGTGTGCGCGTATGTGTTCAGTTGACGGCTCCATCTGCCGCTACGACATCAAGGCCGTCACCCTGTCGGGTAAGATGACCACCGACCTCATCACACACGAGGGCCTCCAGAGAGCGCCGCCCACTCCTACACCCACACCCACGCCCACACCACCCGCACCAGACCAACCAGACCAGCCGGCCCAAGAAGGCACCACACACACACGGGAGGAGACGGAGCATAAGGACGCCAACACGTCCGGCGGCAAGAGACAGTCCCTGACGATCGCCGTGCCGCCCCGCGGCGGCGAGGAGGTGCTGGGGATGTCTCGGTGGACGGTGGTGTGCGAGCGGCGGTGGAAGGTGAAGCGGCAGGGCAAGAAGGCCGTCTCGGCCATGGCCGCCTGCCCCATGCTGCACATACTCATTACTGGCTGCGAAGACGGAGCCTTCCGCTTCTTCGTAAGCACCAAATATTATCACCTGAGCATCACATCACTGTGGGCGGATTGGGGGTGCGCTTCACGTGTTCAGGACCTGTGGTCGGGGGAGTGTTACCGGTCTGTGTGGCCCCACGGGCAGGGCGTGGGGATCCGTGCGCTCGCCTTCAGCACGTACAGAGGGGTGGCCGTCAGTGCAGGCGCACAAGACAAGACACTCAAGGTGCGCTGCCCAACGGAACACCTCGTCAACCAACCGTCCTGCCTCCATCCATCCATCCATCATTCTATTTGTCTGTCTGTGTGTGTGTGTGTGTGTGCAGTTCATGCGCTTCTTGGGCGGCCGCGATTCGTTTGACGTGGCCCGGCCACACGTGGGGCGCAAGGGCAACCAACGGCGTGGAAGCGGACACCCCACAGCCAAGCTGGGAACCGGCAAGGTGAGTGAGATCATACCCACACACACACGGATGCGTTGATGCGGCGAAGGACGCAATGGTGTGTGTGCATCCCCTATCTAATCAGGGGTATCTGCAGGGCGACTGGCGGGGAGTTGTCTGCGACTCGCGACGGGGCCTAAGAGGTTAGTGAGGAGACCAACACTCCACACCACCCCACACCCACACAAATGCAGCTGCCGCACGGGCGTGTCTGCACTGGCTTGTTTGCTCAGATTTGGAGGCCCGCATCAAGTCGCTGGATGTTGACAATGACGATTTTGATTTCTTCGAGGGCAAACACAAGAGATTCTGATTGACCATGAGTGCCACTCACTCACAGATGCATGCTATGAGTTCATCTCTACTAGAGAGAGAAAGAGGCAGCCGTTTCGCTCTTTCTTCGCCGCCTGTGCCTTTCTCGTACATAGCTGTCTGTAGCCTTGCGTAAGTGTTCGTTGTCGTCATATTGGTTGCCTGCCTGCCTGCCTCCCTCCCTAGGCTACAGCAGAGCAGTCCCACCCCTCCCCACCCACCATCCGCTCTTCAGCCAGGCACCCCACCCCCCACACACAGAGCAGGTCATGCTGATAGATTTCATGTGTAGGGACCACTCGGTCGGCAGCTGAAGCCGCGACGTACCACGTCGCGGCTGTTTTCTCTCTCGTGCGCATGGCATGGCTATCTCGCTAGCTATGACTGGCTGGTGGCTGTGGCCGCTGGGGTGGTCGAGAGGGAGGGCGATGCCCACCCACATCCATCTCTCGTTGATCTGACCTCACTGACTGACTGACTGACTGGCTGACGTTTTTGCGCCGGGCCCGCCTGCCTGCCTCTCGTCATGTGTGTAAGTGAATGTACAGCCCCCTCCCCCCCCTTCCCCCCTCTCTGCCTCCCCTCTCATGTCCTTCCTTCGTATGCGTCGGTGGGACCCTTGGCCATTTTTGCGCTGTGTGAGTCGGTCGAGTCAGTCAGCTGGATGCAGACAGCACAGACAGACAGCCAGCGGATTTCTCTCTGATCGAGTGGGAAGGGCTGAGGAAGACACAGCCCGTGTGCTGTGCTATCGATGAAGCCCTCGCTCCTCTTCTACCTATGTCCATGCATTGACAAACGGCTGGCTGCAGTGCTGCCTTCTCTTTAACTGGCCGGGCCGCACATGTGTCTGAGCGTCGCTGCCCCTTGTTGGCTATGGATCCTAGTAGCCAACGATGCGGTGTGCTACTCTCCGTTCAACGATCGGAGAGCGGTATCCCGTGTCCGAAGCTGCAAGAATCCACGACGAGCCGAGCCGGGCCGATGACGCAACCCTATTTCAAAGCAGTGTGTGTGGCACTTGCTTGTTTCAAGTCACTCAAAACACTTGAATAGGCCCGAGCTCTCATGTCTGTCGGTATTTGTATATTGTGTCGTCAACCAAGATGACGAGTCAGTCAGTCAGTGATCCATTGTACAGTCAGTACACATCCAGTCACAGAATACACTGCTCGTTCTCTCTCCTTCGTTCCCCCTCCGGATGCACCACTACTCAACGTGACTGTGTTGAGGCGGCGTGCATCCGGATGGGGAACTCAGAAAAGGCAACGAAGCAATCCGCAGACAAGGGGTCAACTCACGTCACCACGACGCGTCAGTCATGTCGCCTCGCCAACCCGTCGACCGACCAGCTGAAAGCCATCCGGCCATCTCACTGACTGGAGCCACAGCCAACCGTCTCCCTCCCTCTCTCTCTCTCTCCCCTCCGAGCCCTCCCTCCCTCCCCTTGGCACCTGCCTGCCTGCCTGCCTATCGCGCTGCGTTCCTCTTCCTGCACTGCGCCCAGTATGCACTCCGGTCGCCCCGCCCGCCCGCAATGCCATATCGCATGTTGAGCCGGCCACACAGGGGGCGCCGCACAATGAGCGACGACGGCCGCTTGGGGCACCTGGTCTTCTCCCATATGCACACGCCCCACAGGCTCTTGCGCGGCTTGTGGTTCTCGGCCCCATTGCCGCCGCCGTGGGGGTGGTTGGATGGGTTCATGGCCACCCCCCGAACCTCTGGCCTTCGACCCAGGTGGCGGTTGGTGCCTGCCTTGCCGAGGATGGTCATGCTGCGGAGGACATTGGAGACCTGGCCGACGGTCGCCCAGCAGTCCAGGGGGAACTTGCGGATCTCCGTCGACATGAGCTTGATGGTGGCGTGCTGGTCGTCCTTGCTCAAAATGGTCGCGCACGCACCCGCCGCGCGGATGAACTGCCCCCCGCAGCCCGGCCTGATCTCCAGGTTGTGGATGATAGTCCCCACGGGGATCTTCCTCAGCGGCAGGCAGTTGCCCGGGCCGATGTTGGCGTTCTCGGACGACAGCAGCCGGTCGCCGGGACGGATGGCTCGGGGGGCGATGATGTAGGACAGGACGCCGTCCTCGTACTGCACCAGAGCCACGTGCGCGCCTCGGTCGGGCGAGTGCTCGATGCGCAGCACGGTGCAGTAGATGTCCCGACGGGCTCGCTTGAAGTCGACGAAGCGGATGCGCATGGGATGTCCGCCGCCGCGGTGCCTCGTGGTGATCTGGCCTGTCTCATTCCGCCCCGAGTGCTTGAGCCGCCGCCACGACAGCTTCTCCATCACACGGCCCTGAAAGAGCCTCTGAGGGTTGCCCTCGAGCAGGCGCAAGATCTTGGTCTGCTTGGCCATCGTGAAGGCGTTGACCACGTGTGGCTGCGGGAGGGGCTTCTTGGGGAAGCCCGTCTCGAAGTCAATGAAGGGGGCGTGGTTGCGCTTGATGTTGGGCGCGTAGATGTGCGCATGGCGAACGGAATGGCACCTCCACGCAGCTGAGGGGCACGGCGCAGGGAGGGAGGCAGATGAAGGGGTGAGAAGGGACGCTGCAGCCCTTGCGGACGTGCCGGCTAGCCGAAAAGAGCGGGACGTCAGCATTTTTTGCCTCGGCTCAGCTCAGAGCTTCTTTGAGCTTTTTGGCTTTAAGGTAACGGAAAGCGACCAGATCGTCTGATCTCGAGTCTACTGTAAGAATAGGTGGGAGAGAGTCGGGGAGAATGGTGAAGAGAGGATCTGCCGGGCGGTCAGTCCCGGATAAAGGATTAAGTCAACGCAACGTAAGGTCTGTG